TGTATATCAGTTAACTCTGTCTTGCTCTCCTACTTAGCCATGAGTTTCCTGAGGACAGGAAACTCTCTTAGGTAAATTTTGCATCTTCCCCAGCACTGAACAATCCCTTTGCATTACACACAGTAGGTATTTAATGAATGGTTGCTGGATTTATTTAAAACAAAACCCAATAAAAATCTACTCCTGATTAGGGGCAGGAGGCAAGAGAGAAAAGAAGGAAAAAATTCTCAGCTTGGATAGTGCTCTATCTCCTGCCAAAATCTGAAGGACATTTAAAAGAAATAAAGAGGGGGAAATTTTGAAAAACACAAAATGAGTATCTCTAAAGAAAAGCACTGGGATTTGTCCCTTTCACTCAAGGGAGTAGGTTGGGAGAAAGAAAGAAAGAAGCCACTTCTGCCTGGTGTACTCTAATTAACCCCTTCCTCTAGGGGCCCACGAGATCTGTTGCTCTATCTCCAAATTCTCTCATCTTTCCTCATTGCCCTCCACCCACTTCATGCCCTTCCTCCCAGGGCTCCCCCCAACCAAAGCCTCTCCCCACTAAGGTTTTCCCTATTCTACTGACATCTTGTCCCCAGACTTCCCTTTACTCTACATGCCCTCTTCCTCCAGTGCTCTCCAAGCCCTTGCCCCCTTCACCTGATGTTTCCTTACTCTATCCCCCTGCCCCTACTCCCTCTGCCACCAATCCTGTACCTCCTCACCTTACCTTTAATGACCTCTGCCCAGGTTCCTTCTCATGCTACCTTATCTACTAAAGGTTCTCTCTGCCCCACCTTTACTTTCAGTTCCTGCCTATCTCATCTAGTGCTTCCTTAGCTGTCTTCTCCCTATATTCCCTAGGTCTTTGCCCTCTCATGCTTTGCCCACAGGTTAGACTGTCCCAAGCTTTTGGTTGGACCACATGGCTTCCGTTCAGTTGCACTGTAGACCAAGGAATTCAATGAGCAAATGTAATGTCCTGGTACCATCTCCCAGGGGCAAAGGTTTCTCAACTGCTGTAAATTGTGGCCCTATGCCCAAATAAATAGAGAGAAGTCAGTGCAAGTCTATGGGGATAGAGAAATGCAAAGCAGCCCTGAGGTAAATAACCAAGAGCCCCCCAGCCAATCAAAACCATTAGGTTTCATAAGCTATTAGTAGTCATTATTGCTCATGATGCAGAATAAAATTACATTGTAATTTTTTAAATAATGGAACATTTCTTTTGTTCCATTAAAGATACAAAATGGAAGCCTTGGATTATAGACTTCTGCCTTCTTACACCCACCATGCTTTTCCATTAACGTGAGTCACTAGTGATTTGAATTCTCCTGAGATCACCGTGTACAGGATTGAATTGTTTTGAACTTCCAATAATCCATCATCACTTGGAGAATATTAGTGTTAAAAGAAAAAAAAGGGAGGGGAGGATGGGTTTCAATGTTGAGGAAAGGTTAGTGATTACTGAAAGGGCTATGTAATTTCACAAATGTTTTACAGGTATTCTCCTCAATTCAATTCAACAACCACGTTTAAAGTAGCTGCAATGCCCCAGGCACTGTGCTAATTCCAGGGATACAAAAACAAAATTGCAACATTACCTCTCCCTAAGGAGCTCATATTTTACTGAGGGATTCAGCATGCACATCAAGAAGTGGGGGCAGCTAGGTGGTTCAGTAGATAGAGTGTAGAGCTTGAGGTCAGGAAGACCTGAGTTCAAATCCAGCCTCAGATACTTTCTAGATCACTGTGCAACCCTGGGCTTTCTGGACGACTCCACTCTGCAGCTACTGCTCTGCCTTTTTTCAGCTCCACAGAAGGAGATGCCCCTCCCAGGTCAAGCTCCTCACCTCTAATCTCACCATCATGCAGACAACTCAAGCCTTGATTGACACCACCTTCCTAGCCTGAAAGATGGAGTACCAAACTCCTCCCAATGCCATCCTTAATAGAAGACAGAAACTGGACTTTCCCCACTCATTAAACTTTGCATCTGCCGCTCTGCCTGGTTTCAACTACACTGAACAAGATGCCCCCATATAGGTACCGCATGGTCTTCCTCCCTCTTCTTGCCTCCTTTTGTGAGTTATCTCCTCCCATTAGGGTTTTTTTTTTTGGTTTTTTTTGGTGATGCAATCAGGGTTAAGTGACTTGCCCATGGTCACGCAGCTAATTAAGTTTCAAGTGTCAGAGTCTGAATTTGAATTCAGGTCCTTCTGAATCCAGGGCCATTGTGCCACCTAGCTGCCCCCTCCCATTAACTTTTGAGCTCCCTGAAAGCAGGGATTTTCTTTTTATCAGTTGTATTCCCAGTGCTTAGCAAAGTGCCTGACACATAGTAGGCACTTAATAAATGTTTATAAAATTGTACTTAACATCTCTTTGCCTCAATTTCTTGATCTGTAAAATGGGGATAATAATAGCATTTAACTCTCAAGTTTGTTGTGAGAATAAAATGAGATAATATTTGTAAAGCTATGTGCTTGGCACATAGTAGATGTTACATGGATGTTATGATAATTATTTCAAGGTAATTTGATGAGGAAGAGAGGATAAAAACCTAGGAGAAGGGAAAGAATCAGAAAAGTCTTTACAAAGTGAGACCAGACTGGCAATCCACATAGGAAAAACAAGATTATGAAGAATATATCTTGTCTAGATCATAACATGCAGTTGGACAAGTGTTCATTGAGTTAGTCTATCAGTACATTGGGATAGGTATTTTAATTGAGCATTGAGTTGGTCTCTGGGCCATTCTACAGTTCACCAAAGCCAACTCTTCTCAAATTTGATATTCCATCTTCTGTTTTCACACATTTCCACAGACTGTGCACCATTCCTGGAATGCATTCATTTTTAATCTTCACTTTCAAAGTCTTTTACTTTCTTTCAAGTTATGGATGTGAATTTCCCAGCCTGAGAGGCCTGGAAAAGTTTTGATCCCCACATGGGGAAGAAACAGCTACATCACCAGTCCACTGAATTGTCAAAAGGAGTTTGGAAGTTCTTCAAATCTAGGGATTCTAGGGCAACAGCCCCACTTACCCACACATTCATCATGTTGCAGTGAAAAGAGTGTCAGGGATCCTCAGACTCTGACTTGTATTTTATGTCATCAGAAGCTTTGTTCTCCCCAAAGCTGGGATTTCAGCACCACCATTTCTCCAAAGCTCCATGGCTACAGTATCTTCTATAGCTTGTTAGAGTTAGAAGGGAGCTAGGTGGCTCAGTGGACAGAGTGGTGGGTCTGGAGCTCTGAGTTCAAGTCTGGCCTCAGACACTTAGTAGCTCTATGACCCTGGGCAAGTCACTTAATCCTGTTTGCCTCAGTTTCCTTATCAGTAAAAGAAGCTGGAGGAGGAAATGGCAAACCACTCCAGTATCTTTGTCAAGAAAAGCCCAAATGGGGTCACAAAGAGCTGGACACCACTAAACAACAAGATCTAAACCTAATTTTACAGTTGAGAAAGCTGAGGCCCAGGGAAATTAAACCGCTTGCCTAAGGTCCCACAGGTCCAAAAACATAATAATACATAAAAAATAAAAACATAAACATAAAAAAAATAAGTATCAGAACCAGAATTTGAATCCAGGGTATCCAACTCCAAACCAAGAGTGTGGATGTGTGAAACTTGGCTCTGACACTTATTACCTGTTCTTGGTCAAGTAATTTCCCTAATCTGTAAGATGCAGATGCTTAGACACTCAATAACCTACCTGACAGGAGTAATGTAGTGAATAAAGAGGAGCATGGTGGAATGGACTGGGAGTTGAGCTCCAGGGGAAGCCCTGAGTTCTGCTTAGTGCATACCTGCATTAGAATAGGAAGTTCCCTACATTAAAGAAATCATAGGTCCGTTCCTCTCCCTCCACCGAAAAAAAAATGTGCTAATAATGAGATTAATAGGTCCCTGGGTTTCGGGTTGTTGAAGGGTACTTTTGGACAGAGTTGTGTGCGTGTGCCTCTGTGTAGAAGTCAGTAGATGGATAAAGAGTAAAACAGACACGTGTCCTGTGTGTAACGGGTTACTCCGCACAGGCAGCAAAGCGGTTTGGGGAGGCAAAGAGGGGCCAAGGAGCCCACCTGTGGGATGGGGTTGTGTGAAGAAGCCATAGTGGAGAAGGTAGTTGCTGGAGGCATAGGGGACTGGCTCGGCGAGGCAGGTAAGTGTTAGATGCGGTCAGATCGGGGGTTGGGTATGGTACCATCAGGGATGGGAAGAGCCTATCCTAGAAATAAATGGAGAGGACAACATCCCAGAGCTCTGAGCAACACACGGTTTGGAGTTGGACCTCAAATACCTGATTTGTAGAAGCTGTTTAGGGGATGCTAAAACGATGCTAGTACCAGCCCGGTAGTGCTCCCTGAGGGCGGAGTTATGAGGTACCTGGGTCTCCAGCACTCGAGCGATGGCACGGAGCATAGGGCCATAGTAGAAACCCAGAAGATTGCATCCCTAAAGTCGCAGCTCGGGCCTTTCCATGCAGCACCGGGGCGCGGAGGGGGGCGGGGGGGGAACTTTCGTAGATTTCCAGCTGGTCTTTCCCTCTATCGTGTTGAACCTAAAGAAACAATCTCACAGAATAAATAAAATACGACTTAAATCTAGGAGTCTCGATCCGTGGAGTCCCATAGGGATGGCGGTTGTATTCTGCTTTGACCTCTTTCGGTATTGGGTCTCTCCACCTCCCCCAATCCCACCCCCAAAGCATTGGGCAACATGGTTCAAGCCAGCTGCATTCTCTGTGTTCAGGGCCCGCCTGCACTGCAGGGAGGGTTCGGGAGGAGTCGATTGTGCTATTTTATTTATTTATTTATTTTTAGGTTGGGATCAAAGAGAAGTCGTCTCTGTGGGACGCAGGCCGCAAGTGAGTCGAAGTTGGGTGCGGGCGGCTGATGTCGCTGCCGGGGCCAGGAGGCCCGTTGGGCCATGGCTAAGCAGGGAAGGCCCCCGAGCGCGGCCGGGGGGTAGGCTGGTAGCGGGGCTGAGCCCGAGGGAGGCCTGCAGCCGGCCATGGCCCGGCGGCGGCGCCGCGCTTGCATCGCGCTCTTCCTCGTTCTGCTGTTCGCTTTTGGCACCCTCATGGGGCTGCGCACATTGAAGGCGCCTGATGGGCTCCCAGAGCTCGCCCCGGGACTGGAGCTGGGGCCATTTGAGCGCCGTGCCCCCGTGCCCGCTGGGCCCCCAGCAGCAGAGGCGGAGGCCGCCCGGGCTCCGCAGCCGCCACCCCCAGCGCCGCCTCGCACAGCTGCGGGCCCCAGCCCGGCCCCGGCCCCTGTTCCTGCCCCGGGATCTGGTCCGCCTGTCTACTCAGACCTGCACGTCTTCTACTATTCGTGGTATGGCAGTCCACGGGGTCGGGAGGGCCGCTATGTGCACTGGGACCACGTTATGGTGCCGCATTGGGACCCCAAAGTGTCCGCCAGCTACCCCAAGGGCCGCCATAGCCCCCCGGATGACCTGGGCTCCAGCTTCTACCCTGAGCTGGGACCCTACAGCTCCAGGGATCCCGAAGTCTTGCGGGAGCATATGAACCAGCTCAAAGCTGCTGCCATCGGTAAGGATCTCCTTCCCCAAGGCTTCCTGGGCCCCTGCCCTGCCCCCACCCCATGCAAATACACAAAGGACCTTTCCATGGACCCCAGCTAAGGTAAGGTAAGGGCCCCTCCCCCAGGTAATCTATCACTACCCAAGCCACTACTCCCTCAAAACTCCCTAAACCTTCATTTTACAGATGAAGAAACTGAGGTCTAGAAGAGTCAAATGATTTGCCCAAGGTCATGCAAGTAGTAAGTAGCAGAGCTATGATTCAGCAAATTGTCCTCTGACTTTCAAATCCAGTGCTTTCCACTACATTACGCTACCAAGTAAGCCACTACCCCCCACCCCCTCCACGTACACCTAAACAGGCAGCCATGCTCTCCCTCCCTGATCCCAGATATTGATCTCTGAGCCAGGGACATAGGAGAGGCAGTTAAAGATGTATGCAGGGTCCCAGTCAGGAATTGTCCATTTTGGGAGACCAACAAATTTTTCTTTATTTATTAAGAATAAAAATACAAGGGGGGGGGGCCTCCAAAGCCTTTGGATGGAACGCTGATTGGCAGATCAAATTGGGTTGGGGAAGAGAGTAAATCCATGCTCAATTGAGACTATGCTAATGCAGTCTTCATTTTCTGCCTGAAATCTCAGGCAAGTGGAGGTGACAGGGCCTGCAGGCTCATTTAAGCAGTTGCAGAAGACTTAATAACGAGATGGAGACTTCTTTAAGCTCCCTGAAAGGGTGTTGGTGTTCACAAAGGCAGGGGAGTGGAGGGCCCCAGCAGTCCTGCAGCACTGAATGACCCCCTTTGCTGCTCTCTAATATAGGCACACAATGTGTCTATTTGAGAAAGAACATTACTCTCTGTCTGGAAGGCAAGTCTGGGTCCTGGCCTGCTCTCAGTGGCATTGGCAGACGTGTATTTTGGGGGTCCTTAAAGAAATGAACTTTGGGGAGAAGAAAAATTCTCATGTCTCAAACACTGGAGGTAGTCCTCTAATTACCTCTGATCCCTCTAGTTCCTGCTTTCCCAAGGACCCTTGGCCTTGGGGAGACTATTATTTCAGGATTTATCAGTAGAATATTTCTTGCTTTTCTCACTAAAAAACCAAACAAAAACAAACAAAAAAACCCAGAAAAGTAAAGCTTTCTCTCAAAGAAGAAAAAAAGTCTGTGTTGCTAAACATGAGATTTGCCTCATTTTCTTGTTTACTCATAGATGGTCTTCTGTGTGGTAGGACTGACTGCTCACCTGAGGGACAGCTCTTATTTCCCCCCAAAGCTGGGGTTTCAGCACCACAGCCTCTGGACAGCTCCAAAGCTACAGAATCTTTTAGAACATTATTTTTATGAAGTTCTCCTACATGAAGAGAAGTAGAACATCCTTGGCCTTATTCAGGTTTCTCAGAAACATTCTTCTGAAGTTATGGACTGACTTGTTTGACATTATAATTAAAAATTATATCTCTGTAAGCAGGGCAAGGAAGTTGGGCCTGGAACTGCTCCCCCGAAGTAAGCAATAGATCACTTGTAAATTTTGGATCTTATGCTTATTAGCTGTATAACCCTAGGCAAGTCACTCCCCCTCTCTGAAGTTCATGTTTCTCATTCATTAAATGGGGCTAAAAAAAAAAAAAAACATTTGCACTCATAGGATTGCTGTAAAGAAAATATTTTCTAAAAGTGGGCTGTTTTTACTATTTTGTATCATAGGGGTCCTGGTCCTGTCCTGGTACCCACCAGGCATGGCTGATGACAATGGGGAACCCTCAGATGATCTAGTACCTGCTATTCTTGATACTGCACATCAGTACAGCATCAAGGTAAGTAAACCCAAATGGGGGGACAAGATGGAGAAGCTCTTTTCCTTGCTCCAAGTCCTCTTCTGCGCATTCCAGGCAAGCACTTTCTAGCTTTGTGGTGTGGGTGGGATATGAGGCTCCTTTGTTTGTTGGGATATGATTATTTTCTTGGGCTCCTCCTTTCCCACGTGTTCAGTCACTTTTTCAGGAAGTGGCTCATTCTCAGTAAGAGCCACCCAGGGAGAATTTAAAGATGCTCTGGTGTATTGGGGTCCCAGAAGCTCTTTGTTCATCAGTAAAATGGAACGAATTGAACTAGGTGCTCTCAAAGACAAGATCCCTTCCAGCTTGAAGACTCTATAATAAAGTTTGTAATTAGATTGGCCTCCTTTTCCCAAGACTGAGCTAAGGTGCCATCTCCTGAACCTGAAATTGTAACTTTTCTTTCTCAAATTACCTTGTATTTTTCTTACCAGTTTACATTTTGTAAGTTGCCAGTAGGATGGATGCACCATGCTGGCAAGTACTACTTTTCTTTGCTTTTGTATCCCCTGTGCCTATGACAATGCTTACATACAACAGGTACTTAGTAAATGCTGGTTAGATTGAATTAACATTTAAATAATACTTTTTGGTTTGCAAAGCACTTTACATTTATAACATCATTTGATCCTCACAACAGCCCCTTGTGGCAATTATTACAGAGATTATCATCTGTATTGCACAGATGAGGAAACCTCCAATTGAAGATATTTGAATGACGACTGTGTGTCAGTCGGCAGAAATTTCTTATGGGTTTATCATGTGCCAGGCACTATGCTAAGTACTGCGGATACAAGGAAAAGCAAAACTGGGCTCCTTCCCCAAAGGAGCTCACATTCTTATTGAGGGTGACAGCATGCAAATTACTTACATACAAGATATAGATGGGGTAAATGGAAGGTAATTTCAGAGGGAAGGCACTAGCAGTGGGATTAACAGCCCTGTACAAATATTATTACCTCCATTTAACAGATGAGGAAATTGTTCTGTTCAGGGTGTTTATTAACAGCTAGTGTCTATATAGCACTTGAAGCACATGCTTTGCAAATATTATTTTATCCTCATCTTTCCCAGAGGTAGGTGCTATTATTATCTCCATTTTACAGATGAGGAAACTGAGGCACAGGTTAGGTGATGTATTTGCCCAGGGTCATACAGCTAGTGTCTGAGGCTGGACTTGAATTCTGTTCTTTCTATGTCCAAGTCCAGAACTCTGTCTACTGCAGCACCTAGCTATCTCGATTAAATGTCTATGTGCAAGCTCAGAGAGATGGACTTTCCTAGAATCACGTAGCTATTAAGTGATGAGTCATAAAACCATAGGTTGTAGGGCTGGAATGACCTCAGTCATCAACCTGCCCCTGCACCTAATTTCAGAGCTAGCCAGACAGCCTAAGGACTCGCCCACAGTTACACAAGGTAGGCTAATTGGATTTTTGAAGCCAGGTCTGACTCCAAAGCAAGTGCTTTTTTTTTCCCCCATTACTCCATAGCTTTGTCATCCTTGCCTCTTCTGCTCCAACAAGTGGTCACTATAGCTGCCTGAAGGTTGTGGGTGCCGTGTCAGGACCAACTACTTTAGTAAAGGATAGCTTCCTTCCTGAAAGGGTGTTAATACAGCCTCACTTCCTGTGCTGCTCACCCAAGTGGGGCAGAAGGTAGGACCAGGACATACATTCACAACCCATGACTCATTTCTATTTATGGCAGGTGGCCTTTCACATACAGCCCTACAAGGGTCGGGATGACCAGACGCTACATGACAACGTCAAGTACATCATTGATACGTAAGGCTTTGGTTGTGCTGAGCCCAACATGGGGACTTTCTTGGGCCTGAGCAAAACAATCCCATCCACAGTAATTACCTATGCTGGGCTGGGGGCAGGGGTTTAGGATGTGAGAAGCACAAATGTTCCAATATCAAAGGGAGAAGGCCAGAGCACTGGGCTGTGGCACATTCTTAGATGACTACTCAGAAGGTTCACATGCAAGACCAGACACACATACAACCAACCAGACTTGGTTATAGAACTGGGCTTCTTCACCTTGCTTTGTGTCCTAAACCCCTTAGGCAGTCTTGTAAAGCCTATGGAGCTGTTTTCAGAGTCATGTTTTTAAATACAAAGGAAACCAATTATATGAAAAGTTATAAAAAAAATTTTAAGGCTACAGATGCCAGGTGAAGAAATTCTGCTCTAGAACTCTCCCAAGTCATGATACCACATGCAGGTGGCGGGGTGGGAGGGTCCTGACAGCTCTACCCCATCTCGGGCTCACAAATTGGGCACATGTGCTCCTAACAGGGTTTTCTGTGTTGCCTCCCACCCTTCAGGTATGGATCCCATGGAGCATTTTATCGCTATAAAAACAGCATGGGCAGGAGCCTGCCGCTGTTCTACATCTATGACTCATACCTTACCCCACCTGATGCTTGGGCCCACCTCCTCACCCCCTCTGGATCCCACTCAATCAGAAACACTCCCTACGATGGGGTGTTCATCGCCCTGCTGGTGGAGGAGGCGCACAAGCGTGACATCTTGTCTGCTGGCTTTGATGGCATGTACACATATTTTGCCTCCAATGGATTCTCCTTTGGCTCTTCCCACCAGAACTGGAAAGCAGTCAAGAATTTCTGTGATGCCAACAATCTAATGTTCATCCCAAGTGTGGGGCCAGGCTATATTGACACTAGCATTAGGCCCTGGAACAACCACAATACCCGGAACCGGGTCAATGGCAAGTACTATGAGACAGCCCTGCAGGCGGCCCTCACCGTAAGGCCAGAAATCGTCTCCATCACTTCCTTTAATGAGTGGCACGAAGGGACCCAGATCGAGAAGGCCATCCCCAAGAAGACCCTCACCCGCCTCTACCTGGACTACCTGCCCCACCAGCCTAACTTGTACCTGCAGCTGACTCGGCGCTGGGCTGAGCATTTCATTAAAGAGAAGGAACAATGGTTGATGTGACTGGATCCACAGACTCAAGTACAGGCAGTTGAGGAACGACCCGAGTTCCAGATACAGGGAAAGAAGTCGCACTGTGGCACAACTGGATGAGATCACAGAAACCTGCATCTCTAAGCCAGGAGCGCTGGTGCTCCTGGGTGTTGCCTTGTGTGACTAGGCCAGATGTGGAGAATGAATCAAGCTCCTTAGGTTGGGATAGCGTGGTGGGTTGTCTGCAGCAAAGTCCAATGCACTCAGTAGCAGTTAAGAGCAGGGGAAGGACATAGTCTTACAGGTATCTGGGCCAGTGACCCAGCATCAGGACATTCAGTAAAGCTCCAAAATCTTTTCTAGACTTGAACTTTGCTACAGTAGGTCAGCGTAAAGTGTGGGAGTATTTGTGGTATTTCATAAACAGCTGCTCTGCTCCCAAAACAGTGAGGGCAGGGTTGGGGCTCAGCATGCATCCAATCCCTTTCCCAAGCCCCACCTGATGCCTTGCTCCACTCTCCCCGAGGATAGAAGTGGAAATCATGGTTTGCCTCCTCAAGAAGCTTTCCCTTGAGTATTTTAAAAAGGAAAACCCCATGGAGTATGACTGATGGCCAGAAATCAGTGTGAGAAGAAATCTGAGCAATCAATGGGCCAAGAAGCAAAGCCTTCCTTACAGGTAGGCCAAAGCTGGGGGCTTTCCTTTCCTAAAGGTGGACTATACCGAGTCCTGTGTTTTCTTCCTGTGCCCTGAATCATGAGTCTAAATGGCTCAAAACTCCTCCTCTTCAGCAACAAAACAAAACTCCTTATTCAGGGGATTCATCTGGCTTGCAGAGTCCTACAAGCTGATGGGACAGTAGTGAAGATAGATGGTATGAATGGTTCTTTTGGATGCCTCCACCTCACACATCCCTGTTCACAAAAATTTAAGTAACAAATCCCACCCAGTAGAGTCACTTTTCAGTGCTACTGCGATTTGTATTAATTAAATAAACGTCAAGTGCTCTCTTTTCTAGTCGTAAGTGTTCCTTAAACCACTAGTGTAAAGGACCCTTGTCGATCTATCCAGTTCAACTTCACTTTGCAGGTGGGAAAATATGTCCTGGAAGGAGAATCCACAAGTCCAAGGTAGTAAGTTTAGTGCTGGCAAAGCCGTAACTGAGACCCAGATCTTCCTATTTCCACCAGCTTGGTAGCTGACGGGCATAGGACAGAGAGCACTGGGTCTGGAATCAGGAAAGCTTGAGTTCGAATCCAGCCTCACTCACAGTGTGACTCCAGGCAAGTAACTCCTGTGTGCGTATTTCTTCAACTGTAAAATAGGGATAATAATGGCACCTACCTAAAAGGGGGGGTATGAGGAACAAATGAGATGTTTGTAAAAACCACTTAGCACAGTGCCTGGCACACAGTAGACACTCTATAAATGCTTATTCCTTTCCCCGTTCTTTCCCCCCTCCAAGCCTTTTTACCACTGTAATATCTCATTCTGAATTTGTGATAAGTCTGGGGGCAGGTTGAGTTGAAGCACTTAAACTAGTGATGTTTCAAAAACATTTGCTTTGTAGTCCTCTCCATTCTGCCCTTTGGTAAGGGCACACAGGGAGGAGGATGCAGGAGTCAGGGAAGTGGAAAATCAAAGCCATCTGTCAGGAGCTCCCTCTCTTATTTCACACCTGGAAAATAATCAACAGGATTTCTCTTTCCATCCTTCCCTCCAGACTCTAGGAACTGGCCCTTTTTTTCCTCTCAATTCCACCCCTCCCCAATCTTTCTCTAAGAGCTTGCCCATTAGAGCACTCGCTCCCTCTTGCTCTCATCATCAATCCCTCCTTATCTATAGCTCCTTCTCTTAACACCTAAAACATTCCAACAGCGCTCTTCCACTCTTACAAAAAAAAAATCTTCCCATGACCTCTCATCCCCAGCAAATAAAATTCCCAAATCTTACTACTCAGTCCCAATCTCTCCTGAACTATCAATGACCAAATTCCTGTTGGATACCTTTACCTTTAGTCCCACTGGCATGTTAAATGCAACATGATCAATATCAACCTCATTCCCCCCCAAACCCATCCTTCCTGCAATCATCACAACCAAATTCATCAGGACAGCATCAAGTTAATCAACAAGCATTTATTAAGCACTTACGTGCCAAATACTGTGCTAACCACTAAGGATACAAAAGGGAAAACAAACGAACAAAAAAAAATAGTCCCTGTTCTTAGGGAACTCACGGTCTAACGGTGGAGACATGCACAAATGAGACATACAGGACACCTTGAAGGTAATCTCAGGAGGAAGGCACTAGGATTAAGGGGAACTAGGAAAGGCCTCTTGTAGAAGAAGGTGGGCTTTCAGCTGAGACTTGAAGGAAGTCAAGAGGTAGGGGTGAAGAGGGAGTGAATTCCAGGCATGGGAGAACAGCCAGTGAAAATTCACAAGGCCCGAGATGGAGTGTTGTTGAGGAACAGAAAGGAGGCCAGCTGTCACTGGACTGCAGAGTATGTGGAAAGATTAATGTGTAAGACGACTGAAAAAATTGAGAAGAAACCAGGTTATGATGGGCTTTAAGTGCCAGAAAGAGTCTTCCCAACCTGCCATTCTCACCTCAATTCTCACATCCAATCAGTTGGTCAGCCTTGTCAAACCTAACTCCCCATCCTGTGCCTCTACTTGCCCTGGCTCACACCCTCCTGCTAGCTGGAATATTACAATAGCCTTATAATTGATGTCCCTGCTACTAGTCTCCCAACCTTATCTCCATCCATCCTCCACACATCTCCCAAATGGATATTCCTAAAACAGATCTGACCATCACTCTCCTACCTAAAAAATCTTTCTGTGGCTCCCTACTGTCTCTATGATCAAATCTAGATTATTCAGGTTGGCCTTTAAAGTCCAGTATGACCTAGTTCCAACATAAGTTTTCAGTCTCATTTTGTATCATCCTCCTTTACTTCTTTTCCACGCACACTGGCATCTATCCAGTCCACAACAGTCTGTGCTCTGCCTATGTCTTTCCACGGGCCTTTCCCCACACTTGTAATCAACTCCATTCTCAATTCCAACCTCTTAAAAGTGTTCCCTCCTTCCATGAACACTAGTTCAGTGCTAATGGCACTTCCTGCCCTAGGCCCTTCACAATCCCCACCCCCATATTAGTGTTCCTTCTCTCTTGAAATTGCTTTCAAGATTTTACTTTTTGTTTATCTCCATACACATTGCAAACCTCCCAACAGAAGTTCCTCGAGGAAACAGATTGTTTCTTTTTTTGTTTACCTGAAATCTCCAGTACCTACCAGTGCCTGGCACACAGTAAGTACTTCATAAAAGGCAGTTGAATGTAATGGTTAGGCTACACCGCAAAAACCACAGCCCCAATCATTCACTGAGCCCATAATCAAAGCCTTTCCAGACTGACATTCCCAGATTCCTTTCCCTAATAAAAATTACTTCAAGAGCCCAAGAGAACAATTGCACCATGACTTCAGCAGAGGCTGACAACTACCCTGATTTTTTAAAAATCTAAACCTTATTACTGATTACATCTCAGACTTCATTTCTGATTATTAGCCAAAAAAAGTAAGATTTTGCTCCACCATCTCATCTCACTACAGGATTCCTTGGCATTTACAGTATCACTGATCTCTGCAGATAAGAGGAAGAGGGGGCAGGGAAAAGAACAAGCATTTATATAGCACCTACTACGAGCCAGGCACTTCACTGAGCACTTTATAAATATTATCTCATGGAAACAGGCACTGCCTCGAGAAGTAATACAGAGCATAACTTGTGTCCTTAGAGATTTTATTTCCTCCTAGTTCCAACCTCAGTAGCAAAAAACAAAAAAAAAAAGACTTTGGTCACCTGGTAATAACATTAACAGTCACAAGCTTCTGGCCCATGCTACCAGTCAGGGACCCAAGATGTGAAATCTCTCCAGATCTCAAACTTTTGGAGGAAAGAGAAGCAAGTGCTTAGACCACTTTCCCAAAAGTAAACCACTTATTCCAATGTCAGAAAGAAGCCATCCTCAGGAACTTATAAAACAAACATTGAATGTAATCACGTCTCTTTTTCCATCAAACTATTGGAAAGAGTCAGTTTATATAAGTTCAGATGAGCAGAGTCTAAGGTTCCCTCGGGATCTCCAAGACTTGAAGAGGTTAAGTCTGTAGAAGTGGCCCCAATGACCTCATTAAACAAGGCCACACCAATTAACAGACACACAGTGCCTAGCTCCAGTTCTTGTAATCTCCTCCCTTTTCAAGAGCAGGGCTCTTCTGAGGGGACCAAGCCGTACTTCTTCTGGAGGATGGCTGCAGTCTGTGTCAGTGCACTAGAGGAAGCAACAAAAGACAAAGTCTGTTTTACACCTGCAAACTCTTTCACAACCAGAATTTCCTAAGTCATAAGTTTCACCCTTCTCTTTTACCAGGGGGTAGAAAAAACCAAAAAGTCCACCCCTTTTCTACCCACCCTGAGAAAACATACATACCAGCCCGGTCGGATAATTCTGTACTTTCCAGGCACTGACAAGTCTACCACAGTGGAGCCAAGTCGACATTCAGGACTTTTTATATCTCCAATTGGTCCCCCATCAATGACTAAGGACAAGTGAGGCCAGAGATCCTGGAACTCCTAAAGATAGCACAGATGAGGTTAGGCTGAACACTCACCAGTTTTCTACCACGATACTGCATTGTACACACCTTCTAATAACACAGAGCAAAACCAAAGTTGTCTAACTCCAAAGTGCCAAACCCTTAAAGGGTTTGGTTACTACAACTCTATGATACTCAGGGAGACGTCCAGCTGTTTAGGCCATATCCTGAAGCTGCTGTGCAAAGACGCATACTACCATACGATAATATCTTGCTAAAATGGTTCAGCCCTCAATAGCAGCAACCCAAATCAGTATAAAACCAGAATCATTCCAGTGAGCTCTCCTCTTTCCCCATCTTTGAAGTGCGGGGGAGGGGGGTGTGAGTGAAAGGGAGAAGGCTTAGCCCCTTGTGGGGTCCTGACTGGGGAAAAGCCATAAAAACTTAAGCTCTGTGAAAGGTGGAAACCTGAACATGGTGATCTATTAACAAATCATAATTTAGATACTGAATCATAGTCTAGTACTGAGTCAAAACTTAGAGATACTATGAAAGGCACAAGAATATCGTGACCCATACATGACCAGTACATGATCAGTACACAAACTTATGTTTGGGCATAACACTGGCTTAACACCCAAGTTCATTACTAAGCAGAAAACCAAAAATATCCACCACTCAGTAGTGATGTACTCTCCAGCTCATCTTCTCTTTGTCTAGTTTCTATAATTACCCCAGGGATTTTTGGGGTTCTTTAGCAGGGATCCACTAAACTGTCTGGCTGCTATCTCAGACTGAAGATTGCCCCTGTTTGTAAGTATTCATAATGACTGATTAAACTACTACCTATAGTTAATCTGGAAATACCTGGCCTCTTCCTTTAGTATCAAAAGAATACCCCCGCACCCCCCCACACCTGTATGGGGGAGGCACAGGGTTCCCCAGTCAGGAGAATTCTGGACCTTACACCCCTAATGAGTACAAACGCCATAAAGGTATCAGACTGATGAGATTACAAGATATTACAACATAATGCAAATGACTATTCAGCCTAAATTTTATATTAAATTGCTAAGGAGGGACATAAAAATCTCAGCCTCATAAAGTCTGTGCACCTTTCAGACTGTGGGTGCCAAAAGAGATGTCATAACCTGATGACTTAATGACCAGATAAAAAATGAGAGAGAGTTCCTTCTAGAAACGAAGTGCTACTGTATACTTGCTGCTTATTCTTGCTGTGTTAGAAAAAAGTAAACCTCCTTTGTCAAATGTTTAAAAAAAATTGCTAAGGAGTTACTTTCTAGAACTGGACAAAATTCATCAGGAGGAAGAAAGGGTCTAGAACCTCAAGAGACATAGCAGGGGGAAAAGTAGGAATGAAGGGGACATGGGATGGACCAGATCTCAAACCTGGAAAGAGGAGCAAGTGCTTAGACCACTCACCCAAAAATGAGCCACCTGTTCCAATGCCAGAACAAGACCCCCTTCAGGAACTTCTAAAACAAACACTGAATGTAATTGTGTCTCTTTTTTCATCAAACTAGTGGGAAAATCAGTCTCATAGCACAGGTAAGCACAGCTAGAGATACCCTTGCAATAATACCAGTATTATAAAGGAATAATCTTTGAAACTATCTGGTACTGTATCCTGCTTTTGGTGACTAGCTAAACAAATTTCGAATGTGAATGTAACGTAACAGAAAAAATATAAGAATACTTGCAGAAGTGAAGCAGAGGGAAGACAGCCAAGCCAGGAGAACACACAATGACCACAATAATGTAGATGAAAATTAACATTAAAAAACTTCAGAAAAAGATCAAATTGGATGACCAATCTTCCTTCAGAGGACAGATGATTAAGCCTATTTCCCTCTTCCTCATAGAGGAGGAGTGAGCTTTGGGTACAGAAGGCTGTATAAGCCATTAGAGGTATCACTGTATTTGGTTTTCAAGCTAGGAACTTTTTAATGTTTTTCATTTAAATTTATGGGGGGGCAATGGAAGGGGGAGGAGTAATCCACAGGTGTGTTATTATGGCTCTGTCTCTTAGGAAAGATGAGACAAGGCATGACTTCTTTCCCACTCAACAAGGAATATTCACAGAAGCTTCAAGGTAAAGTAGAAAGAAAGCTGAACTTGGAGTCACAGGACCTGAATTCAAATCCCAGCCTTGTCCTTCACTACCTATATGACCTTGGATGCTTGTTCTTTTTCCATCTATAAAACTGGAGGATTGGACTAGATATCCTCTAAAGTTCTAGATCTATGATTCTAATCAAAGAGGAAAAGCAGTGACATTTCCTGTGGTCACAGAGCCGGAGAAGAGGACCTCATCATCTCAGCCCAGAGCTCTCCCAAGGCTGATACATCTGTAGACTGTGGTGAAATCACGGATAGTGCAGGGAGAGGACGGAGCACATAATGACAAAACTTACCTTAACATTCAATGAACTTGGCTGTGAGCTTATGTTGGCACTGGTGAGGGCAAGGGGTCCTGAGAATGTCTGAGCCAAATCTCTCATGAAGGCATGATCGGGTATTCGAATACCTACAAGCTATATGACAAAGAGAAATGCTTTGGTCAAGAAGCTTAAAGCTGGGAAAAGCCCAAGAACCTATTGAAAGCAACTGTCAGATCCCAAGCCATTAAGGAAATTAAGCAGAAGGAAAATGAGGCAGCAGAGAGCAGTGGGAAGAGCACAAGCCTGAGCGTCTGTGTTCTACTCCCAGCTCTGCTACAAATTCACTGTAAGCTACAACCTGTGGTCCTCAGGTTCCCTATCTATAAAATGGGGTGAGTATAGAGCTGGTCTGAATGAGATGACCTGAGTCCCTTCCACAGATTACACTTCTCAGTCTTGCACTCACTGGGGTGAAAGGATTTAGGTCCTTGTTGAGCTCTCCTGAACGTTCCATCACCAGAGTCACAGGACCAGGCAGCAGGTCCTCCAGGAGCTCTCGGGGGACCCTCACCTGGCAATACCTGGGTACGAAAAAAAGCCAAGTTCAGTGTCTGAGGAGCAGTCATTGCAGGTCAGACCATGATTACCACTACACATCCCTATATCACATGAGGGCTAACTGTGGCCACCCTGCCTCTTCCTAATGATATCCTTCGCTGGCCCCCAACCTTTAGGGTCTAAGCTGCCTCATACTCCAGCCCTTGGCCGGTCACCTCAGGCCCTTTATAACCTGGTGCCACACATTGCCTACCCTCTTCCCCAGTTCTGTACCTTCTATTCATGCCACTGCTTATGTTTGGAGTATCCTCTCTGCTGCTGAAAACCTATCTATCCTTCAAAGTAGAGTTAAAATCTTCATTTTCTTTATAAAGAATTTTTTCTGGGGACCAAATGTGAGTCAATGTTAAACACACTAAGGTGGACTTAGTTTATCTTTCAAATGTTTTAAAAATGCTCTTTATTTTAGCCTTTCACTTGTCTAATATCACAAAATGTTCCAAATAGATACTCAACCTTAATATGAAGTTTCTGTCATAAAAAAAAGAATGGAAGGAAACACAATGTACAATTATGCTAGGTTCACTTAACTAAACCATAATTATCATTATATTCGGCCCCCATAGCCATCGCTGGGGAAGCAACTTCCGAGAAGGGGTCATCCATCACCTTAACTGCCAGCCAACTCCCACTCACAGGGCAAGCAAGCCAACCTAGCCGAAGCAACAAGACATCCTACGGGAGAGACGAGGTAGAATGTGCCAGGCAGATTAGGCCACCACCACCACTTTGATCACAGTCTCCCTTCAGACACCAACACACCCAGCCCAGGACCTAGAACTCCAAGAGCCATGGGAATAGCGTCCCCCAATCACCAGCCCTGCCTCCGGCCCAGATCCTGCAGCCATCATTAAGGGGAGAAATTTTGTGTAGGAGAGGCCTACCTTCCTCATCACCACAGCAACAATGGTTGACCAACTGCCACTAAGAGGCAGACAATAAACACAAGAGGCCTGGCAGTGGCAGCAACAGCCTCGGACCACCAGTTCTACTTAGAGCCCAGGAGAAGGAACTCCTGTGGAGCTGCGGCCAACTATCCCTACCGACTGCCAACCAACTACTATTCATAGGGCAAGCAAGGCAAACTAGCTAAGGCAGCATGACAGAGGTGGAGACAGAAAGCAGCACATTGCAGCCAAGTCAAACCACCACCACCTTGATTACCATTTCCTCCAGATGGAGACAGTTCAGGACCCTGAACCCAACCAAGAGCCTGGGGAATAACTATGTTCTCAGTCCACTGCCCATATCCATCAGCCTAAGAAGCAACGCCTATGGTGAAGCAGCCTTGTAACTGCTCCTGTAGCTGCTCCAGCCATATCTACTCAAGACCTGGAAAGTCCTTGCTACCAAAATCCTTGGCACTGTCAAATAGTTCAGTGTCAAAAACTGATGATTTTAACAGTGAAAACTGAGAAGAGGCATTACCATCTCCTTGCTGCTACACCCTAAGAATCATGGGACCTTTCCATGTGACTTGAAGCTGAATCTTCCAGATATGTGGGCTTCCCCATTAGATTGTGAACTCATTGAGAGCAGGAGCTATCTAACTTTTCTATTTGTATGTCCAGCATTTAGCACTATGCTTTGCACAAAGTAAGCACTTAATTAATGCTTTAATCATTTACCCACAAAACTATCCATTTCAAATACCTAAAAAGTTTTGGTAGAAATTAAATGTGTCTGGGATGTACGATGTTCAATCATGTGAAGGCAGGGGTGTAGTAGCTATAGAGCCAGCCTCATAAGGCAGGACAACTTGGATTCAAACCCAGGCTCTGATACAAAATGGCTGTGACCCTGAGCAAGTTACTTGGCTTCTTAGGGCTCAAGGGCACTCTCAGATGATAAGTTCAGAAAAGGTGCCAACCTGTATCAGTAAAAGTTTCCTCATCTGAAGTGCCCTCTATGAGTGAAATCACAGGTCGAATCCCTATCCCTAAAACAGTAAAGCTGGAGGCTGGAAAAAATAAATCTTTGCAGTATCAAGTCTTCCACAATACCCTTCTCTAAAACTGATCATTCCTTTCTCTGAATCTCTAGCACACTTTGTCTGTAACACTCTCCTAAGCCGATCATACTCTGTCCTGAATTAAGATATTTTTGAGGTGTCAGGACTATAAGCCTTTTGAGTACAGAAACATTATCTTACTGTTTAACGTACAACACAGCAGGGATATAGCACAATAAAGGTTTGATGAAATGAACTTAATTCTCTCACTCCCAAAGCACTTTTGCATACCTAGTTCCCTAGCTGTAAAAGGTCTGACTAGTCCTTGTGCACCTGGCAGTTTATGTTCACAGAATAACAATGATAACGATAAGCTACCATTTATACAGTTTTAAGGTTTGCAAAGTGCTTTACAAATATCATCCCATTTCCTCTAAACAACCACCCTCGGGGGTAGGTGCTATTTTCAGCCCCACTTTACAGCTGAAGAAACTGAGGCAAACAGGTTAAAGGACTCGCCTGAGGGTCACATAGAGGCTGGATTTGAACTCCCTGCAGGCTCCTGAACAGTAACCATTTCAACAGCACCCTTTCAGGTGGGCCTCCACGTTGCTCTGGAGGACTCCTGGGACAGCTCCGATTTTTAAGCAGTTTCCAAGACCCGGCCCCGCCCCTTCCACCCGTGGGCTCCCCGCCCAGGCCCTGGTCCCGGGTGCTCGGGGTCCCAGCCTCACCTGTAGATGTCCGACACGCGGCCCAGGCACACGGCCAGCGGCTTGGTCTGGCAGCGACCCTTGAGGCTGTACACCGCCCCGAGGGCCGCGGAGCAGGAGGCCGAGCAGGCCACGCCGTACAGCGTGTCCGTGGGAACGGCGACCAGCCCGCCTGCGCGGAGCGAGCTCACAGCGGCCGACAGAGCCCCGGACCAGCCTGGGAAAGCAAGCGCAGAGTGCTTGGGAGAGGTGTCGGCCGAGCTGCCCCGCCCACCACGGGCGGCGCATGCGTCCCAGGCCCCCCCACCCCCCCCAAGGTGGTTCATATCACCCATCCGCCTCGGCTCAAGCAACGCATGCGCCGCCCAGGCGCCCCGCACTCCAAGGCAGCTCGGACACCGCTCCCCTAACCCCTCCTCCTCGCAGTTCGGGCAGCGCAAGCGCCCTGCAGCGGTCCGACTCTCACCGGCAGCGTACTGCCCGCCACAGCTCCGCCCCTCACCGTCTTCCTCACCTTCCAGGTCCGCGGCCCGACCGGCACGAGAGTCGGCGACACCCCGAGGCAGCTGCAGGAGCCGGGCCGCAGGTCGAGAGGGCAGGAGACAACCGACGCTGGGGGCCAGGGACCCCTCTCCCAGCCCCATAGCTGCGGCTTCCACGGCCGCCAGCACGGCAGGTGGAGGCGTCCGAACCGGACCCATCGGCGAATATGCACTTCCGGCAGGAAGTGACGTGAGCCCCCGCGGACCCCTGCCTGCGCCGCCTTAAAGGGGCAGCGACGCCTCTAGGAATCAGCGAGCCGCAGGGGCGGGGCAAGGAGGGGGCTGGCAAAAAAGGGGCTGGGCCTTGGGCCTGGGGCGGGGTTAGAAGGCCTTGAAGCTTGGGCGGGTCACTTGGCTCGGAGCGAGGGACAAGAATCTATTAAGCATGTCAGGCACTGTGCTAAGCACTTTACTAATATTATCTCATTTCGTCCTCACAACGACCCTGGGGGACAGATGCTATTAACTATCCCCATTTTGCAGTTGAGGAAACTGAGGCAAACAGAAGTTGGTTGACTTGCCCAGTGACATCTACTGTGCTTACTCTGGATTCTGTCTACACCTCTGTGAAAGGCCTGTGCCAGGGTGTAACCAGGGTAAGGCCAATGAGACACCTGCCAAGGGCGAAAGGTGCCGAACAATTGACAAAATTCACATTCACCACCCTGATTGTGATTGAACAACAGCAACTTCATGTTCTTTTGGCCACACTCCTCTGCTGCTGCCAGGATAGTCCTGGAACCTTGGTGTCTAGGGGCTATATCCATGGTACAGACCCGTCCCTCGGCTGCACGGGCCCCCAGCCTTGCTACAGAAGGCAGAAAAGGTTCTCCAGGTTGTACCAGCTCCTCCCCCAACACTCTGTACCATGCCATAGAAACCTCTTCACCCCTGGACTTCTCACACTGGAAATACCCACCAACCTTGCTGCTTCTCAAACTGGGTGGTTCCTCCCAGAAGCTCCCATTGAAGGAGGCCCTGCAAACAAACCATTCCCTTCTTTCTTCCTCTAGCTGTGTGGTGAGCTCATCTCCATAGGACCTCCAACCAACCCCCCTCCCCCAATTCATCTCCCTTTTATGTGTATTCCTTCATTCAACTGTTAAGTTCTTTGAGGGTCCCATCACTTCTGAACTGTGCTGGGCACTTAATAAATGCATGTTGAATTGATCTGTGTTGCCATGTTTCTTGGGCGATTCTCCTAAACCAGTGTGGTCTCCCAACTTTTTTGAATGAGTGAGCCTATCATTACAAATTTTTTTTCAAGCAAGAACCCAGACAAGGACATTAATTAGGCAGATGGGTGGTGCCCGCCCCACAGATTGCAGGGCCTAGAGTCAGAAAGACCTGAATTTAAATCCAGCCTCAATCTCTTAGCTCTCTAACCTGGGCAAGTCACTTAACCTCCATCTGCCTGTTTTCTCAAACTAGAATGGGGATAACAGCACCAATCTCACAGGACTGTAGTGAAGATCAAGGGATTTGTAGAGTGCCTGGCACATAGTAGACACTACAGAAATGCTAAGTCCCTTCCCAGTATCTGTATATTCACTTATTCACAAACTGCATATATGTGTTTTTCTGGACATGGCCAATATAGGCATTTGTTTTGCTTGAATATATGGGAGAAGGAAAAAATACTTGATAAATGGAAATTTTTTAATTTTAAAAAGCCACCTGGATAAGACTGAAAAAGTATATTGCTGTGCCCCTCTACTAATAGTTATGTACTTTTAAAAACTTACACAAAAATAAATTTTAAAAGGATGGGATGAAAATGAAACACTTGCTCAGTGTTGGTAAGGAGCCACTACAGCACACAGTCTATTTGGTAGCAGCAGCAGCATGGAGGACTGCTTCTGGAAGAGGTGAATCGACGGGAGAAATGAAGGGGGCATGAACTCAGGTAGCAGCTGTGAGAGAAGGGGATGGATATGAGAAGTGGCAGAGTGGGATAAAAGGGAGCAGTCAGAAATGGAGTGACCACAGAGATGGTGATGTCCTCAACAGAAGATGGGTGAATTTTGGGGAAGATGATGTAATGGTTACAGTATAGATGGGGGGGAGGGGATTCTGGCTAAAATAATCTCACTTAAGAGCTGCCATGCTTCCCAGAACAAAGGCTATAACCTAGGTTTTAACTGTTTCATCTCTAGTGCTCCCTCCTCAGAGCTATGTTCTCACCTGCCTCTTTGCCCTTGACCATCCCCCAACCTCCACTCTCCATCTGGAATTCAGGAAGAGTATGACAATCTACAAAAAGGCAGAGGCAGAGGCTGCCCTCCTAGGGGCCTTAACAAAGGAGGGGAGGGTGGGGAGGCCAGTGAAAATTTTCTCAGGGGCACTTCTGCAACTTCTGCCTTAGGTGCCCAGGGATGTAACTGATCTGAAGGTCCAAAGTGTGGCTCTGGACCACGGAGGGAGCTGTTATGGTGAAGGGATGGAGGGCATACGGCCTCACAAAAACAATCTGAGCGACTGGTTTCAACCCACCCTCTCCTGAATGGCTGATCACACATGACTTGGAATCAGGTGGAGTTTCTTCCTCTCTTCCCATCCTCCAGTGAGTTAATCACTTGGGATCAAGCTGCTGCCCTCAACGATCTGAGTCCCTGTATTCACCACCACCCCCAACTGTCCCAGTTCCCCTCATGGTCAGCAGCTGGAGCTGTTCCCATTCCCTTGGGCCCCCGAACTCTCAGTTTTGTGTTGATCGTATGAGCCCCCAGTCTAAGAGATGGGGAGCACTTCAGACCCAAGCTGTTACCCAGCTTCCAACCTCAAACAGCTCTGTGATGATTTAAGTGGTAGAGTGGATGCTACTGATGTCTCCCAGAAAAAGGCAAGGTTTATTTGGCAGAGGCCCGTAAACTTTCATCCAACAGTGTGACTGAGGTTGCAGGATTTGGAAGACAGCATCACTTAAGTGAAAAAATGCCACTGACACTACCAAATTTAAATAAGCATTTAATTAGGATTTCATTAGTATTTAATATTGCTTTTTTCAATTCCAAAAAGTTAAATTTCCACTTCTTAGCAGATTTGTAAAGTACAATATTAACTTTATACAAAATGAGCAATTAAGCAAACACCATTATTTCACATTCTTCAAAAATACAAATTCATATTTACTTGTTTTTTTGGGTTTGGAGGGTTCTTCCTTTGGAAGTACTGAACCTGTAACTAACATCTTCACATTGCTCAGTGGAAGTCAGTTGTTCCCATATTTCATATGTTAATAAGTTCCTTTGATATAGACCTTTACATAATCGGGATTTTAAAAACCATTACCAAAAGCTTGGGCCTATGGTAAGTGTGGCAGAAGTGAAAACAACGGAGAGTCTCAGTGCCTGATTGGATGATCTAGGCTGGAGTCACAGCAGAAGGCCTCCTCTTGGCCTCCTCCCAAACAAGAGCTAGGAGTCTTCCCACAGCCCACCCCACCCCCAAGGAGCCTGCTACTCCCCAGTAATAACACTCTTTCTCCAGAATACTACAACATTGGTTGTGTAGTGAACTCTGAACTCAGGCAGAAAGAGCTGCAGGCACAAGGACAGGAAAGGAAAGAGGCCAAGAGAAGGCTGTGACTTTGTACCACAGTTGGGGTAACAAGGATATTGAGAAAAACTAAAACAAAAAATCATCCACACCTCCTGCCCCCAGCCCTGCCCGATTCTGCTGAAAAGTGTCGTATGAAAAAGTTTCTTGTAACAGAACAGCAGAAGTTGCACTGAGTGTAAAGGGCCCTTTGTGGAAGAAACCCAGCAGACTGCTGGGAACACAACAGGTCAGGCTTAGACATCCGGAGACAAGAACAAGAGCTTAGACTTCATACATTCTGACATCAATATCCAGTTTAATTTGTATTTTCAGTGCAGACAGAATCCAACTGTAGAAGAGGAGATACAGTGAGACAAAATACCAAAAATTAGGATTAGCCCAGCCCACAATCATCACCTTAAAAACTCTGGATCACACTGGGAAAAATTTCCCTCCAAATATGTCAAAGGGAACATTCCAAATGAAGACTTAACCAATCAGAAATATAGGTATCATTTCCTTTTGCTCTCTCCCTCCCTTCCTCAAAAGGAGGAAAGGTCAGCTTCCTAGCTTGCCCATAGTAGAAGTCACTTGGATATTTGCTCTACAGCAAACAGTCCCCGTTTTGGCTGGAATTTTACTTTGAAACCTCTCGTCTGAACTAACTTTCCAATGAGAAGATGAAATCAAGGGATTAAGGGCCGTCCTCCACCTCAGATAAATCAGCTTACAGGGCCGAGGTGAATAGTACAGCCCAGTTTACTGTAGCCAACAAGCACCAAGGGAGTTTCCTTCTGTGAACAAAGAGGAGAAGGGAAGAGGAGAGCTACATACCACAGAGCTGGGAATGGTTCCTTCTTCCTCAATACAAATATTTGTGATTGGAAGTCCAGTAAGACATTTAACGTGCTGCTGCAGTTAAAAAATCCAATGAATTCCCTGACTCTGTAGGAGTCTTTATAACAAGACAATGGCCCTGATTACCAATATAAAAGTCTAGAAGGTGCAAAGTTTCTGCCCCAAGACCAACTTGTCCCTTCCCTTTAGGCTTTTCTCACTGCCCTCCCAGGGCAGGAGAAAGACAATGAACTGCAGCTGAAAAGAGGCTGTCTGCGTAGGGGGCTGATCTCCAAACAGGCCAAGGGAAAAGTGATGAGCAGCTCTTCGGAGGACAGCCCCACTCCTCCTTTCAGCCCAGGGAACAGGGAGAGGGTTTGCATAGATTTCATAGTTAGTTGCTAGGAATGCATAATAGTGTTTCCTTACAGACAGGGCACCATGTTGTGGAACTGAGCAACACCAAGCCTGGGCCAAGGCAGGGTCTGCATGGGGTAACATCCACCAAACTACAAGTATTGCACCAAGGTAAGTGCTTTTCTCTTCACACCTCCATTTTCTCAGAGAAAAAAAATAAAACTTTGTGGAAAATACATATACAAAAGAAATTGCAGCAATCGGGTTAAGGATAACATAACCTAAAGTGCTTTTTAATTTTTATTATTTCTTTAATATACCAGTACAAGGTTCTGCAAACTCATCTCTCTAGAAACATTCAGCATTGTACCAAGTCTCTCCAATGAAACCTTAGCCTCCATTATTCCAAACCAGTCTGTAGGTCCTCATCCTGACCCTCCAAGCCATAGGTACACCCAGAGGTTCCCTCCCTGGGGTCCTCTGACACCTTGAGGATTCTACACTTCATGTCTCCCTCCTTATGTACCATGAACTCCTTCTGGAAAAGGCAGAACTCAATAAATAACCCCAACCCTAGCGACCAAACCAGCGGTTCCCCAAGAGATGAGCAGCTGTGAAGCCACACACAGCCAGCCCCACAGTGAGGGGCTCTCCCCATCATATTCCCTCCCCCTCTTTTTTTGCTTATTCCAGAAGGAGACTCTTCATGGATGGGCACAAGCACACAAGCTTGCATGCATGCACACAATGACACACACACACACACACACACACACACACAAACATACACACAACCTCTGAGGACCGGCAGTGCTGGTTGTCACTGAATCTGGAGCACAGTCCAGTTTGAGAACACAGTTTAAGGCAGCTTGGTGGTGCCCGCCAAGGCTGACTTTCCTTGCCAACCACCTCAGCCTATAAACTCCAATCCACGATATTAAGCAACCATCAAAGAAGCAGTGAGATAAGGCATGTCTCAATTACCCTTCTAGGCCATGAAGCCCACGAGCAATTCCAATCTATAGGTGCAGCCTTTTCTTCTAAAGTCTATAACGCCTCTGAAGTCTCTATGGGGACCCCAGTCTCACAAGTTTAAGAAACCAAACTCCCACCTAAGGGTCTTTCTGGTCCCAGTTCAACTCTGAGCTTGCTCCTCTCTGGGTCCAAGGCACCCTACCCTTGTTAGGGGCCTAGCTTAGAGAGGATGCCCAGCCCAGAGTTCATGTAGACAAGAAGGGAGTTTCTTTTATATCCATAGGAACCTTGAAGAGACTGGAAGAGAAGACTGCCCTCTCAGGTGAAGGACCCTGCCTTACAAGTTTGCTTATCATCACTACCATTTTAAGGGAATTCCTGATTTATCAAAAGCTGAATGGATTTAAGAACTCTGATCACTGTAATCTGGACAACTTCTTGTTGTTTAGTGATTGTGGGGTTTCTGTGATCTGCCTGACCAAATCCTAATGTCATAACCACGTGACAAAACCTGAACTTGTTCAACTGGAAAAGTCTGTTCATCTGAGCCACAGAGCATGGCTTTTCTACAATTCTCCTCCTCCTGTGCTCAGGTGGTCCCCTGCTCAGCATAGGCAGATCTCTGAAAATGACAAGAGTTGGCACCTAGAAAACCATCTATAAAATAATGATGTGACTATCAAAAGGGCCAGTTTTCAATGTTTCTGGGTCCAGGCCTGAATCCAGATTCAGAATGGGGTGGGAGGGTGCAGCCCAGAACTCTGTGGCTCCTCCCCCACCCCTCTAGACCTGAGCAGGATGGTCCCAGTTGTAAAAGGTGTGTGTGTGGAGACAGGGCGAGGGGGAGGAGGGAGGGCGTCTTTGAGCTGTCAATAAAACAGCATGGACAGTTGCAGAGAGAGCGTAGGCTCAGCTGCTCCAAGGAAGCCTCTCCATTGCAATCAAATTATTGAGACTCCTATACACAAAATGATATTACTGAACGTACCGCATTGCAGTAACGGGAAGCCCCCCCACCCTTTTCTGAGAGAAAGACTTCATCTACTCCCCTTTTCAACTACTTTCCAGCCTTTGCTTCATTGCTCCTGGAAAGGCAAATAACTCCCCTGATTAAACCTATCTTTCTCCTCACCACAGTAACAACTTTTCTGGGGTGAGGTAGGGAGAGGGGGAGGGGCATGGAATTTCTGAACATCCTGATGAGGATGTCTGAAGTCAAACTGAGATCAAACTGACTGCCCTGGGCACCTACATGGCTGTCCCTGAATGCTGGCTTGGGAAACGAAAGAGGCAAATATATCTTTGTGGTCATTGGTGGCTAGGGGTCAATGAGGAATTCAAGCCCTTGGAAGAAGAAAGAAGGTAAACTCTTAGTTGTCCTCGGCCTAAATATATGGGGTCTGCAGTATACTCTGGCTCATAGGACATCCTATTCCCTCCACATAGGAAGCAGGAAGGAAAAAGACTACAGAGGACGCAGAAAGCCCAGCCTATTTACTGGGTGGAACTAAATTTCTGAATTCTATGGGTAAAGATGTCACCACTCTTATGACTAAGTCAATAGAGCCCTTTGACATAAAACAACAAAAACTATGAGATATTGTTCTTAAATGAAATGACTTGGAGCCATAGCCAGAGAGAAGTGGATAAAATTCTATAAAGATCAACATTTTTTTGCTTTTTTTTCTTTTTTTATATAATGCAACATAACAAAACATTCCAAATGAAAAAAAAAAAAACCTTATTGCAACACTTCAGGCTTTTTGGTGGAAGGGGGATTTTTTTTTAAAATTTTGCTTTACTTTACCCTGAGTAGGTTAGAAGATCATAGTTTTCATATCAAATTACTAAGCTATGTTGCACATGTCAACAGAGAAATTATACTCGTTTGCATTAGTAAGGATACAGGGCAAAACCAGACAGGAAGCAGCTGATTCGCTGGACCAGGACCCCAAGCAGGGCAGCCTCCCCAGGCTCCATCTGAAGACTTCCTTCAGCTCTCACCTCATCTTGACAAAGTCGGCCCACCTTTGCTCTGCAAAGGTCAAGTGGCCCAAGAGAGGGTAAAAGTCAACAAAGAGACTCTACACCAAACATGGCAGTCGGCTCAAAGGTACAAACAGGGATCCTTTCCCTTCCTGAAAGTCACTACAACCTATAGCTCCCAATAGCCAAGAGAGATCCTGGAAAAGCCAAGGAGATAAAGAAACCATGACCACCTTGCTCATGTCCACCCTGAACACACATGACATCCTAGTGCTGGTCTTCCAGCCAACACAAGTCAGTGCCCTGCCTGGGCCCCACACCAAACATCAGGCTCTCCAGGTCCCTGTATCCTCTGTAGCCACTGGCCTCAGCCTTCCCTGAGGCTCCTTGCCACACACCAAGCACACTTGAGTCCTGCCCAACACACACAGCTTCTTCCTCTACTACCACTCTTTCCCCTCTTTGGGGTCACTGGCCCGCATTTCAGTTTGTGGCTTAGTCTCAAATCTACCCAGGAAAAATAGACACCTGGGAGCTGTAATGAGACTACACTGCCCAAACTGCAAATGCCCCAATACAAGTAATAAACAATCTAAGATTGATGGTAACCACACCCCTTTCAATTTAGAATTTTTATGCATACGAGTAACCTTAATTTCCATGTTCACATGACAATATGCAAAAGTGACATACAGTGCAGCCAAAATAGTTCATTTATAACTTAGCTTTTTCTGTGTTTTTTTTTTTGTTTTTGTTGTTGTTGTTTTTTTTTCCAAAGATCGGTTCCTTAAAATGGACATTCCTGGTATGGGAATAAAGAAATGATGTCTGAGAAGTATGACTTCCCAACAGCAAACCTCTTCATCCTTCAAACTCCTGACCTCCAGAAGGAGGCCATCTGTTCTGTGTAGCTCTGCTCGGCTTTCTTCTCAGAAGCAAGCGAGCGAGCCAAGGGCGCTTCATTTAGCAAAGCTGCTGGTTAAGCCGATATCTTCCTCCCCCTGCAGCAGTGCTTCGATGGGAATCAAGTTGGATGGGGTGTCTGGGCTCTGGAGGGACAGGAACTCGGATACGTCCATGGCACTTAATGACTCAGTCTGAGAGTCTGAAGGGTTCTCTGCCTGTCTGCTCCGGCTGCCAGAAGGGGAGATGGAGGAGGATGACAATGGAGTAGAAGAGGGAAAAGTCTGGGGGGCTAGATGGAGAGATGGGCCATCAGGAACCCGAGGGCTGGGCTCTGGAGGAGGCGGTGAGGAACAGCCCTTCCTCTGGCTGTTGCTGCTGCCGCCACTGCCAGCAGCTCGGTCCTTGGCAGAGTCCCGGCACGCACACTGGCACTGACAGGCCTCCTCCTGTTTGATGATGATCACAGGAACACTGAGGCCAATCTGCTGCACAGAGCTCCCTGGGAAAGAGCAAAGACGAAGAATGGTGGCTGCTCTACTGGGAAAGCATGGAGCAGGGGTTCTTAACCTGGGCTCCAGAAACTTCAATAGACTGTAAACTAAAATGTAACATTCCTCATTCTGAAAAGGGGCCATCACAGACTTCAGCAGGTTAAGAACTTTCTCGGGTGCTGGATTTGGAAATCTGGTTTTAGTTGTAGCTCTGCTGCTACTGCTTGTTTAGGGCGATTTTTTTTTGACCTGCAGTTTCATAGGTATCAGGTGTGGTAAGGAAAGGTAAGGTAAAGTAAGGAAACTGCCTCTACACTGTAAGATAAGCCTTGTCTGTAACTAAAAGGTTAACCACTCCCTCGAATGCCTCTCACATACAAGGACAGGCTGAGTGTCAGGGAAGCAGGTACGGTCACTGTCTTCTACCTGGGAGGCAGCGGGGAAGTGGGAAGAGCCAGTAGGACTAGAAGGCCAGAGACTGAGGTTACAGTTACAAGCTCTATCCCTAACTCTAATGTGACCCTCCACAAAGTACTTCCCTTCTCTAAGCCCCAAGGAATGACATGTGTACTATTCACTTTACACAGCTACTGTAAGGATCAAATGAGATAACAGATAACAGAACATCTCATAACATACACAGCAAAAAAGGCCATCACTTAAGAAAGAATGGTGGTAATTATAGCCAAAGTCTGATGTGTGTACAATCTTTGGCTAGGCTTCATGGGAAAGGGAGGTTTGAGGACCAAAGGGTTAATTCCCAGGGAAACCAGAAGAGAAGCAAAGGAGTTCACACTCATCCTTTCCTCAACAATAAACAGATTCACAACCTTTCTGGCTCTGCCAAAGAAAGAACCTGCTTCCATCATAAAACTCAAAATTACCAGGTTGAAGGCACAAGCACAGAACTTTTCAAGTTTTACCAATGGAAAAAGAAGAGCATTTAGGTTCTAATAAGCAAGCAGGATAGAATGCTGAGTTGAGTGATGCTAGTGAAATATAATAAAGCTGCAAAGCTAGCTAAGTCAACAAGTCAACCACTTACGATAAGGGGTTTACTTTCTCTGGGAAGAAAAAGGCAGTACACTTACCTGCACTGCTAGCGACAGGTACTGCAGTGGTAAAAAACACTTTCTCTACCTTAGAAGCTTGTTGCTGGAAAAAAAAACAAACAAAATAAAATCACATTTATGGTGACCAAAACAGGCTAGATGTACAAAGAAGCCAGTCCTTCCCCCACCAATTCCTGCTGCCCAGAAACCAAGCTATCAGAATCCCCCCAAGTGGAGGCCATGCCCATCTGTGTTTCTGAATGTTCACTGTGTGGGCAACCAGCCTGCCAATAACACTGTGAGGGTCACGGAGGATGGGAAGACCACTTATCAAGGACATGGATTCAGGGAAGGATGGCATTAGATGGTTTCAACAAGCCTCTACAGCAGGAAGATTTTATAAAAACACTTTCAGGAAAGTTCTGAAAGGCCGGGGCAGATGCTGTCCTCTGGGTCCTTGGAGTAGATATAAGAGTCAGTCTTTTCCAGCAGCCTGACTTTGTCTCAGAGAGGAAACATGTTCCATGAGAGTCATTTTCAGGTTGTATGTGAAGGGAATAAACCAAAAGCAGGGGATTCCTTCAAATAACTAGAGCTAAACTTAAAGATGTTGTCTTTGCAACCTTCTAATCCAATGTTCCCTGAGATTTACATCCCCCTATCATAGAAAAACTGAGTAAGAATATGTTCTTGAATAACGCTCTAATGAAAGATTTTGGAGCCCAGTACAAAGATCACTAAATTCAGAGTTGAAAGACCTGGGTTCAAATCTCAGCTCTGATATTTACTACCTGCAATCTAATTTACCCCCTGTGACCTTGTGTAAGTTATTGAAACCTCTCCAAGAGGTCTCATCTATAAAATTTGATTGGACTAGCTGATCAAATAATCAATCAATGAACACTGATTGAAGCACCTTCTATGTGCCAGGCACCATGCTAGACATCAAGAATACAACAAAAAAGGGAACCAGCCCTGATTTCAAGGAGCTTCTTACATAGCTGCTCTGGAAGGTCTCCTTCCCATGAGGATTCAAGGATTCTACTGTTTCAAGTACAAATCCTTCCATTTTCACATAAGTCAGTGTTTGCTACTCACAATTTGCTCTTGGTTTTGGGGAGGGCCAGTTGCACCATTGAGGATCCACTGTAGATTCTGGTCTCCCATCACTATGCTGGACTGCAGAATAGCCGTGCTGGGAGTTGGTGTGATGGTTATGGTGGGATTGCTCGTCAGAACAGGAGTGGCCCCTAGAGGCAGAGTCTGAACCAGAGCTGGCACGGCCTCAGTGGTAGTTGGTGGTGCCGCTGTTACCGGGGGAGCCCCGGCAACGACAGAAAGTCCTGGCACAAGGGTCGGCGGTGGCTGAGGGTGCGGAAGAAACTCTTGGCGATTAGCAGCAAACTGTGTGCTGTGGCCAACTGGCCCTTCTGGAGGCTGCAAAATAGCAGGGTGGGTTCCAAATGCAGGTGGCTGGGAACCAGTTCCTATGGAGGGAGCAGTCAGAAGAGGAGGAGCAGGCGGTGTGGAGGCAGGTAGTGCAGACTGAGAAGGCTCGGAGATGCCAGGCTGCAGTACAAGTGGAAGAGATAAAGATGCTGAATCTCCCGTGGAGGGTGGAACAGCGGTGACTGACTCTGTATCACCATTAAAACTTTCAATCAAGGCAGCTGGCAAGAAAAAGAAATAAGAATGTATGCACTGAGTCTCCCAAGCCTGGCCCTCCCCACCCCAACACACACCGAGCAATCACTGGGGCACCCAAGGCAGTCACAGCCCCTTGAAGCATCCCCGACTACAGACGGCTTCCGCTTTTCACCTCAGGAAAAGGTGCCAAGGCCACAAGCTCCTCTGGCAACCTCCTGAAATCTGAGGCTCTGCCTGAGCAGAAAAATCTCAAGTCCTGAAGCTTTGCTTAGGAACATCCTGGGCTTCCACCCCTTGGCCTGCCCCTCTAGAGCAGGAGCAATAAGCAGACCTGCTGACCCTGGAGAGAAGGCTCTTCAGAGAACTGAGTCCAGGTCAGTAACACTGACGTGTCTGGGGCCCTAATCTGCCTCTGCCTCTTCCTCAAAGATGGATGTGATGGGCCCTGGGCAAGTCCCATTCTTCCTAAAAAAAAAAAAAAAGCCAGCTGGACCTTTCAAGTATAACAGCTCTAAGGAGGAGGATTTCAAAAATCCCTGGCTTTCTGAAAAGGGTTGATGAGGTCAGTGAGCTGACAGACCCCACCTGAGAGAACCAACACCAAGCATGCAATCCACCCCCCTAAACAAACTCATGATCAGTTAAGGAACAAACCTGTCTGCTTGTTTTCCTGGATGATAGTATCATCTGAGTTCTGGAACATTGATTCAAAGATGATTGCTGGTGAAATTGTGCTAAGGTCTTGGCCATGTGTCTAGGAAAGGAAACGTGCTAAAATGTGAAAGGGAATAAAAGGGAATAAAAGGGAATGCTCTCTACTAACACTTGTCAGAGCCCCAAGAAAAGCATGGCCTTTGCAACAAGATGGGACCTTTGAAGAAGGTACGGTGGAAAGAAGGCTGCATTTGGAAATCTGCCTTTCAATTCTAGCTTGGGGCTTCTTCCTTCTCTCTTCTCCCCCCTCCACTCCATATTGCCCCTCCTCTGCCTCTCACCATACCTCTCTCTGTAGCCCTGAGGAGTCACTCCTACTCTGTTGGTCAGTTTCTTCAACTGTAAAATTATCAAGTTGGACTAAATGATCTCTAACATCCTTTCCAATGCTAAACTTACAATCCTAGGACTGTAATCATTACTGGGTAACTTGCCTACAGGTATAAAGGAGGTTAGCAGCAGAGCGGAGACTAAAACCCAGGTCTCCAAATGTCCAGTCCACTGTTCTTTCTATATCCCATGCAGCAAGAGTCACGTCAGCCTGTTCTAGAGCATGAAGCAGGGACCTGGCTTTTCCACCACGTAGCCTATCCAAGGTGTATTTCTGTAACACTCTCGATGTCTTCCAGATACATAGTGGAAATCAATCTCTCTCTTGCCTCTTTGCTAGGGACCTCCAAGCACCAGATTGGCTTCATTGTTCCTATGATCTTCATCAATCAGGAAGGAGCTTATTAGGGTCAAGCAATCTCGCAGGGAGGGGTAGACCTTTTCTATCACTTCATGGGAGTTGTTTTAGAAGAGGGTGTTCACCAGTCCAGTGCCTACTATCTACCCTGCCTGATGGCCTCAGGGCTCCAGAAAACATTCTTCTGTAAGGCAAAGCCATAGTTAGGGCCACTTAAGATGATCTGAGAGATAATAAGAGGATCCTGGAATCCAAGATATTTAGGCACCTCAGCATCGTCTAATCTCCTACCAGTGTTGAATCCCTTTCATCATATCCCTGACCCATGGTCATCTAGACCATCAGTCTACTTGAATATCTTCAGCCATGTTGTTAATGACTATATATTTTGTACCATACCACATATGGCCAAGCCTTCCTCTGACGACTCTTGTGGGGTAGCGGGAATCCTGGGCTCTCCAAGGCTGTGCCGAAAGAACACATGTGCTGGCAGGCCTGCCTGAGCCAAAGATTTGGCAGAGGCTCTTGAGGCCAAGGATAAGCCCAGCAACAGGCAGAGGGCTCATCAAGGGGGAGGTGATTTTTTTTGGCCCATTGCCACTCCACATGACGTCTTCAAATGGGAAAAAAAAAACACCCAAAAAATCAAGTGTTCAAAAGGAAGAGGGACTTTAGTATAATTCTAAGAACTGTATCAAATAAGCACTAACTGAAGATTTGTGAAAACATGTCAAGAATTCATTGGGATGGTGGGAACATTCCTAATCCTAACAGAGCAAATTAGAGCCATCAGACCTGAGGCTAAAAATGCCTCTTTTCTAGAGGAAACGGTGGGTCAAAGCTTTCTTTCAACATAATGTCACAAAAATCAATCACTGAAAAGCACACAATCATGTAAAATACCTACTTAATACATAATAGGCCCTTACAAATGTTTGCTGAATAAAAGTTGTAAATTACTGGGGGGGGAGGGGGGGGGGATGGACACCAAGTCAGAGAAGCCTCTGGTTGGACAGGCAATGCCCTGGGAATCCAAGAGCACAACTGCACAGAAAGGCAAATAGCCAGGATGAAAGAATGGAGGTCAACCACGTCCAGAGGAAGGCCAATACTAGCCTGTTTTTGGTTTTGGTTTTTTTGACACTGCTCTCGGTCCCATACATCTCAATGGATGACAATTCTACTTACTGTATTGGAATTTTCTCGTAGCTCAGAATCCTTGGATTTGAGGCTCAAGTCGCTCAGACAAAGTGAGTGGTTTGTGTCCTGCAGTGTTGGGAAAAAACCCAAATCAGCACTTATAGATGCATTTCTCAGGAGCAAGCATCACTCCAAAGCCACAGGGGCTTCCTTCAGTTAGCAAAAAGAAAGTCACTTAATTATAAACCTGACTAACCCTTTATAAAAATAGGCTTGAGATAGGTTTCCATAGCACAATATGAACAGCTGTGCTTCTGGTCAGCAGTTCTCAGATGTTTGGAGCTGTGAATGACTTCAATACAGCTAATGACCCAGCAGACTCTACCTATGACCACAAAAAGCAATCTCCTGCTTTGGAGGAGAGAGACTTCTAAAAAGTCATGATTTCATCTGGGCGAGGGCTCTCTCCACTGTTGCAGGTCCTAACACTTCCAGCCCTCATAAGGCACTTCCACCCCTCGTAAGACGATGCACTTCATAAATTGCTGTGGTCAGAATGAGTCATTACACGGAGCCAACATTCTGGGACTGAGCTTGATGAAACGCTGATAATGAGTCACAGAATATTAGAATTAGGAGGGACCTCAACATAGGTCCTTCCTACAATAAATGCTCTCCCTGCTCTCCTCCATCTCTGAGACAACTCAGATCAAACACAACCTTTTGCAGAACTTTCTTGGTGCCCCCAGATGCTAGAACCTTCCCCTCTAAGCTTACCTCCCTTCTACTCTATGAATCTAGTTTGTATCTATGCAAATATTGTCTCCTCCATTACATTAGTCAATCAACAAACATTTATTAAGCACCTACTATGTGCTAGGCACTAGGCTAAGCACTGTAGATACAAAGAAAGGCAAAAAAAGTCCCTTCCCTCAGGAAGCTCATAAGCTCTTTGTATGCCCAACACTTAGCCCAATGCCAAGCACATAGTAAATGCTTTAAAAAATGTCTGTTGATTGACAGTCCCCATCCAAACCTGTTTGAAAACCTCCAAAGATGTGGTATTTACTTAACATCTCCTGAAGCAGAACACTTATGAGTGGCTCTCATTTTAAACAGATCTGCCCCTTCAGTTTCCAGCTCCTGGTTCTGCCCTCTTGAGAATGAGCACAACAAATCAGAGTCTTCTGAAGCACTTTATAAACCCTCCCATACTAGAAACATGAACAGAACAAGGGAGAGTCTACAGACAAACTGAAGGACTAACAAGGACCAACAGACACCCCAGGAAGTCAGTGACCTGCTGCCTTCTGTGACACTGAAGGCTGTGTAGTTATAACGGCCAAGCTTGGACCTAAAGAACATACACCTCGCTCCCTTCTTTTCAGAGATAGGGAAACTACGGACATGGCCTCAACATGTACTAGTGGAGGCAGCAAGAGTCCTAGTTAGTGCTGCTGAACTGTTCCCCACCCCCACCCCCTTTCATTCTTACAACCTCCTCTCTGGGGAGGAGAAAAACAGATTTGAAAATATATGTGACACATAAAAATAATAAAAAATATTTTTAAAAGTTAGTGCATTAAAAATCACAGAGTAGCCCCATGAAAGCAGCAAAGAGTCAAGAGCTTCATTTTACAAAGGCCCAGAATGAGCCCCAGTCAACCAGGGAAGGGAAGGAGTAGAGAGAGCAGCAGACATCACACACTGGGATGGGGGGGTCAAGATCTTCCCATTATTATCAAGGCGGAATCAAGGTGAGTCACTTGACATTTATAACATGCTCCTGAACCTATAAAAGAAGATCTTAATCTACTACCTGCCTCACATGGCTATGTGAGGGAGGTACTTTGTAAATCATGAAGTATAATATAAATAGGAGTCCTTGGAAACAGAATCTAGATGAATTTCTGGATTCCTTCCCTCATCAAAAGGCACATCCATCTTGACAGTTTGCTACCCTCTCATCAACAGAAATTTGGTGAAAGAACAAGCTTTAAAACAGGTTTACCCCTTTGACCCAGCAATAGCATTTCTAGGGCTATATCCCACAGAGATCATACAAATGGGAAAAGGACCCACATGCATAGAAATATTTATAGCAGTTCTTTTTGTGGCAGCAAAGAATTGGAAGTTGAGGGGATGCCCATCAATTGGGGTGAACAAGTTGTGGTATATGATTGTAATGGAATACTATTGTGCTATAAGAAATGATGAGCAGGCTGACTTCAGAAAAACCTGGAAAGACTTGTATGGACTGATGCTGAGTAAAGTGAGCAGAACCAAGAGAACGTTGTACACAATAACAGCCACGTTGTGCGATCACTAATATTGATAGACTTAGCCCTTTTCAGCAATACAAGGATCTGAGACATCTCCAAAGGCCTCATGATGGAAAATGCTATCCACAAAGAAGAAAGAACTATGGAGTTTGAATGCAGATTGAAGCATGCTATCTGCTATTTTTTTTTCTTCTGTTGTGTTTTGTTTCCTCTTTCTGGTGGTTCCTCCTGTTGGTTCTAATTCTACTTACAACATCACTAATGTGAAAACATGTTTAATAGGAATGTATACGTATAGCCTATATCAGATTGCGCACCATCTTGGGGAGGTATGGGGAGAAAAATTTAAAACTCAAAAGCTTATGGAAGTGATTGTTGATAATTCAAAATAAACTAATTAAAAAACAAACAAAAAAAATGTTTACCTTGATATTACATAAAGCAGCTAAGCAAGCAGCCTGTATTACAGAGATCAAAGTATTGGAAAGGGAACAAAGAATGTCATACCTCAGACATGCTATTTGGAAGTGCATTATATGAATGTCCTTTGTTATCATGACCTTTCATATGACTTTTGAGACTGTACTGAGTGCTGAATGTCTTCTCACAGCCGTTGCTGGGGCAGAAGAAGGGTCTTTCACCTGAAGGGAGGACAAAGTTATTTGGACCCTAAGTTAGCTTTAGTCCAAGTGGATTTTGCTTGCTCCCCACCCCCACTTCAACTAACTAAAAGAAACCCGATTCTCGTGTGGGCGCTCGGTGTCCGGGCAGGGAGCAACATGGAAAACTTTCTGCCTCAAGTTCTAACTACTTCCCATTGTAAACTCTGAATGGACAAAGTGCTGACCATAGCCTGGCATTCCAATGTTCAAACAGATGAGCAATTCTTCCTGGGTTCTACTTTGTAGGAACTCTTGCATTTCCTCCCCTCTCTTGGGGATATTTATTACTGATGAAAGAACAGGACAGAATACAAACAGTAGGTCCCCAAGGAAGTCAGGACAAGCATAATTCCACTATCGTCAGGCTATGTGTGACCTTGGGTAAGTCCCTTCTCTCCAAACCTCTGTTTCATTCTCTATAAAATGAGGGTATCAAACAAAATGTTCTTCAAGGTCTCTTTCAGTTATAAGTTCTATGATCTTACCTTTGAAAATTACGTCTTCATGGGGGAAGACTAGGCTAGGCCTCTCCCTCTACTGCACAATTACGTAGTCAACCATTAACAACAGAAAGCTTGGCATCAAAAGACCTGGGTTCCAGTTTGAATTCTGCTTCCTTACTAGTTTTGTTACCCTGGGCAAGTCTTTGACCCCAATTTCCTTATCCATCAAATGGAAGAAACAATCTGACACCTAACACACTGGGCTAGCATGAAGAACAAACGAGATAATGTTTCTAAACAACTAAAATCTTACTGTCATTACATTTATAGTTAAAAAAAACAAAAACAAAAACAAAAACAAAAAACTCACCAGTGTGTGTTCGGACGTGTGTTTTAAGGTGGTGGCTTGCTGCAAATGCCTTCCCACAGCCATCATGATCACACCTGAACAAGTCATTTAAACACAAAGAAACAGCAACCATTAGCTAAGGGTGAATTCTACCACCAATGACTTAAGTATGCACCAACACTAATGCTGAGAACACTTCGGAGAAGGTGGTGGAATGAAGCCTCGGTGACCTATCAGGGATAAGAAGGAATTGGGTACAGAGGAGAGAAAAGCTCTATTAGCAGTGGGTGTTGTGAATGCTGTGGACTTTATGACAGGGTGAGACTTTTCGTTTACTACTTTACAGAATGGCATTTTCATCCACACAGCTGCCCAAGTGATTTGCCTCATACTTGGATCTGACCGTATCCCTCCCCTACTCAATAAACTCCAGTGGCTCCCTAGTACCTCTAGGATAAAATATAAACTCTTCTATTTGGCTTTTACAGCCCTGCACAGCTGGGCCTCAACCTTTTTCCAACCTCATTCCATGTTACTCCCCACCTCCACACTACACTCCAGCCAAACTGGCCTTGTTGCTGTTCTTCACACACAGCACACCACATTCTTTCCACAAATCTTTACAACCCTGGCCTAAAATATGCTCCCTCCTCACCTCTGCCTGACAGAACCACATGATTACAGATCATAAGATCACGGATTTAGATCTGGAAACCATCTCAGGTCATCAAGTCCAACCCCCTTCATTTTACAGATGAGGAAACTGAGACACTGAGAGGTTAAATGACTTGCCCAAGATCACACAGGTAGTCACTATCTGAGGCAGGATTTGAACCCAGGTCTCCTTGACTCCAAGTATCTTCTCTAGCACACCACTTCCTTCAAGATCAGGTCAAGCACCACCTTCTATATGAAATCATTACACACACACACACACACACACACACACACACACACACACAGTCCAATCCAAGTCCTGGTCCTCCCCTCCCTGAATTACCTTCATTTTATTTTGTATTATTCATACACACCCCCCAAAAGAATGGAAGCACCTTGATAGCAAGGACTAGTTTCAGTTTTCTCTAATCCCAGTGCCTGGCACATAATAGGCATCTAATGAATATCTGGTGATTGAATGAATTAGAGATGACTACTATAAAATTCACACAAATGAGTGCCCTAAACATGAAATAAAAATAAAACCAGTCAGAATTGGTTAGTTATAACACATTCTTACAAACTGAGTCATCTGACAAAAGAAAAGAGATTAGCACTTTTACCAACACAACAATCCTGGAGTCCAGTCTCTGACCATGAGCATGATGTCCCTTCCCCCCTCTGAGCCTTCAGATTCCCTATGGAATGATGGGGTTGGGGCTCAGGGACCTCTATGGTCTCTTCGAGCTCTGATAATCCTGAAAATCTACCATATAAAAGTTTAATCATGCCAAGCACAAACACCAAGGACATGTTTGTCTGCATGGGCCCTGGAAGATCCAAACCTGATCAAGTCAAGCTGGTTCACCATCTTGACCAAAATAAGCTGAGGGGAATTGTGTGACCCCAGGCTGTAATAACACCTACTTCACAAAGTTCTTGGGAGGATCCACTAGAGGCAATATGTATAAAGTACTTTGTAAAACCTTAAATTATCAAAATATTAACTATTATTAAATCATTTCAGTTTCCTCACGTATCAAATGAACACTATATGACCTACTTCACAGGATTACTGTGATGGTCAAATAAGATAATACAAAGCAATAAATACAAAACTTGAGCTGTTTTCACTACTAGTCTGTTTTTAGGAGCCATCCCCATCCCCCTGACTTCAACAAGTACAAGTGTACCCTCGAGACATTTGTGGCCAGTACTGGAGATGATGTTCCTACTGTGGTGTAGATGGAATACAAGAAGTTTCCCCAATTGAAAAAAGGAGGAAGGTAGCAGAAACCTGGTTTGTGATCAGGAGCTCTGTGGCCTTGAGGTGACAGACTCAGTAACCTACCGAAATGGCTTTTCTCCTGTGTGGGTTCGAATGTGCTTCCTCAGATCACTAAGCGTGGTGAAGTACTTGCTACAGCCTTCTGATTCACAGTTAAAGGTTTTCCCTGTATGCAGCCGCTGGTGTGCTTTCAGCCTGCAAAACAGCCAGGAAAATTCTCTTTACCATAATTTAGTCCCTACCCTTCTGGGCCAGGCCACGATATTTCCAGATTGTTCTCAGAGATGTCAACATATCTCTATGTCTTTAAGATACAGAGCTGGGAAGGGCAACACATGCATAAAGGAGACTGGTTGTTGGCATTAACAGTGAACAAGTAACTAACAGCACCTGCATTATTCCCTGGATTCCCTTTCTTGCAGTTTTTTCAATATTGAACTTGGCCACCTGACATTCCTTCTCTGCATTTGCATTTTTGCTATTACTATGCTCCCTCCCCCTTCCCCTACCCTACTTCTAACAGTAGCTGGTCCCCAACAATCCTAAGCAGGATCAGATTTGGAGAATAGACAAATGTGCAAACTGCTCAAGGGGAGGGATGAGAAGGGGAAACAGCTTTATATTAGTAAGCAGAAGATTCAAAATAAGGGTCAGGATGTCTCACCTCCAGCCCCATCACCATCCCATTCAGAACCAAAGCAGACAGCTCTCAGTGTGGTTGAAAGAAGCTCCCCACGGTAAGGCAAGAAAGAGTTACAAAGCCTCGGTCCCACAGAGCAAGGTCTTGAGCCAAGGGACAAAATGACAGTGCAAGAAGCAAAAACTTCACTCCGTGACACACAAAACTAAATACAGGTATGTCCTTACCTGAAGCAACAGATATATGAAAGTCTGGATTTACAAAAAAGATACTTGAGAAACTGCTAACAGAGTGCATTTAAAATGATGAGTTTATGGCTAACGTTACTACCAAACTGGCAAAATTAAGGGGGTAATCCTCCCTTCCAGCACCAATGGATAACCAGTTTTTCAGGGAAAGTATTCTATGGACTCTGTAAGGTCTATCTGGCTGTTTGTTAAGACGTGTCAACTGTGTCACAGCAAAATGGATCGATTTGTCAAATGATTTCAGTGTATAAAGATTTCATTAGCACACCGTTTTAAAGTTTCATAGATGCCACTTGATTACACTAGTCATTTCCCAGCATCATCTCCCAGGGCCCCCAACCCTCCCTTGAAGCAAAGAAAATCTGTTATCTCACAGAACACACAACCAAGGTGACCACTGTATCCGACATTGTGCACCTGGCTGCCTGCCTCTCCAAGGAGATAGGAAGACACACAATCATTCAGAAACACATCTATCACGCAAAGCTGGGAGGGGGGGACTGACCTGTACAATGTGTTGAACGCCTTCTCACAGCCCTGCACATCACACTCAAATGGCTTCTCCTTCGTGTGTACTCGCACATGGATCTTGAGGCTATAGGAGGTGAGGAAAGCTTTGCCACAGCCCTCTTGGTTGCAGACAAAAGTGTACTCTCCTCGGTGGGTCTTCTGGTGGGTGCGCAGGTTGCCAGCCGTGCTATAGGTGCGAGGGCAGCCCTCAAAGGTGCACTGGTACCGCTTCACCTATCACACAGAGCTTGCCTGGTCAGTGGCATTGAAGGGCTAGTTGTAAACTAACTCCCTCTGAGGTCCCTGTGTCCCATTCCCAGGAGATGCCTTAAAGAAACATATCCTTGCTATAACTTACTTCATCACTTCAAAGACCTGCAATCTCTGTGGTGTGGGTATCCCATCCACTGACATAGTCCCTCTGTGGTTTTCAAGAGACACTAGCCTTCAGCCAATCTGGCAATAAGCCCCCCCAATCACTTAGGGTGGTACTCACCGAACATACATACATCCCACCTAAACTTTAGAGTTTGGTTGGAGGTGCTGCAGCTTAGGATCCATTACCACAGTTTCCAAGAAATCCAAGTTATTCCCTTGCTACTAAATCTGAAAATTTAGTATTATTTCTGGGACATTCCTCCATCAAAGTCCTACTCACTGAGGTGAACCTAAGTTCTAGAAGGCTTCGCCCTTGTAAGGCGCCAGCCCTGGAACAGTTCAGCCCAACTCAGAGAGACCCATTACACCAGACTGGCCACAGTCACTCATTAAGGCCACCGAAGTTACAATGGGATTGCAAATTGCATAGACAAGGGTAAACTCCCACACTGATGAAATCATGGATCCTTGAAATATATCAACAAGCAGGATTTCCTCTTTTATTAAATACATATGTTTTAAAGATAAACATACAGCAATACATCAAGGATCTGTGATATGGGTATAAGAACTACCCACACCAATGCAGTTCATAATCTGTCTATAACTTAGGGTTGGAGTGTTGCCTAGGGCTTAGATAAGCTCAATGATTTGCACATGGTCCTATGGCTAAGTATCAGAGGCAGGATCAGATCTGACGTTTTCCTGAATCTATTCTAATCTAATCTATCTACATCATGATGCATTAAAAAATTATTTTTGTATATCTATTGTTAATCTTGAAAATGAGCAAAGTGGTAAAACTAAACTAAATATTCTCAAGTAAATAAACCAAAACACATACACATTGACTTTAAGGATATGAATCTAGTATATACTGCTTTTACAATATTCTCTTCTACCAAAATTTTGCTTTATATTTTAACATTACCACATAAGACTCTCTTAACACAACTTGTCTTCATCATTACAATGAAGTGAACCCAAAAAGTCACAAGAACGCTGGTTGAGTAATCCAAAAAAATCAGAAGAGCTGGGTTCTAATTCCAGCTTTGATATTCTTTATGTGATTTTAAGCAAGCCCTAACTTCTTTGAGCCTCAGTATGACCATAAATAAAATGAGGGGTCCCTTCCCCAACATTAATATTCTGTGATTCTGAGGGTGGATGGGGATCTAGGAAGCGAGAGAATATGGACCTCAAAGTTTTAAAAACGAATATTAAAAATTGTTTTTACATGCAACTGGGAAATAAGATATTGAGGCAATGGGGTAGAGAAATCTATCCTGCCCTACAGGAAAATAGAAGGGGAAAGGGATGGGGGGGAGTCCACAAACAACCATCGGTTCCTTAATTCTTTGCAATTTGGTTTCCACCTCATTATTAAATTAGTATTCCTTAAAGTCCCCAAAGAGGGCCTCATCGACAAATCGAATTCTATGTCTCAGCCTTTGCTTTTCTTGACAAAATGCTAATCACCACTCTCTTTGACTTACACGTGACAATCCTTACAGCTTTGCTCCTTTAGTCTCCTTAGCTAGGCTCCTCTTCCTCTTCCCACCTACACAGAGGCATACCCCAAACTCTCTTGTCTTACTCTTGAAAAAGAGGGCACTTTCATCCACAGAGATCTTATAATATTTTGTGACTTCACGTATCACTAGTTAGATGTTTTCCAAATCTTCCTCTCTAGCTTTGACTTCTCTCCTAAGCTGCAGCCCCATAGTAATAGATAATAATAACAACAACTAACATTTATATAACCCCAACCATGTTTAAGGCTTTAAGTGCTTTACAAATAGTATCTCAATTGATCCTCACAACAATCCTGGGAGGTAGGCACTATTATTATCCCCATTTCACAGAAGAGGAAACTGAGGCAAACAGAAAGTTCCACTGCTAGTAACAGTGTCTGAGACAAGATTTGAACTCAGATCTCCCTGACTCCTGGCCTGGTGTTCTATCTACTATGTCACTTAGCTCCCAGATAGTTAATTACTTACTGGCCATCTCTACTTGAATGTCCTGGTGTTATCTAAACCTCTCTAGCTTTTCCCAAATTCTCCCACCCAGATTTACCCATTTCAGTCAATGGTATCACTTCCTCAGTCACCCTAGTTGAAATCTCTGGAGTCATCCTTGACATGTCTGTCTGTCTGTCTCTCCCTTTCCCTGTCCTTTCAGTCTTTTTAATTTTTCCTTTATAATTTCTTTTTAATCCCTCTTTTCCTTTCCTACTGCAGTCACTACAGCTCAGACCCTTAACCCCTCATTACTAGACTATTACAGATGAGTCCTCCAGACTGGTATCCCTACCTCTGATGATGTTCAGTCATTGTTTCAATCAGATTTTCAGTCATTTCTGACCCTTTGTGACTCCATTTCGGGGTTTTCTTGGCAAAGTTACTAAAGTAGTTTGCCATTTCCTTCTCCAGTTCATTTTACAGATGAGGAAACTGAGGCAAACAGGATGAAGTGACTTGCCCAGGGTCACACAGCTAGTTAATATCTGAGGCAGGATTTGAACTCTGAAAGATCAGTCTTCCTGATTTCAAGCCCAGTGCTCTACCCACTGTACCACCTAGCTAATTCATCCTAAATACTATTATCAGATTAATCTTTCTAAAATATGTTTTCACATGTGTCACCTTCCAGTGCAAAAACTTTCAATGGCTCCTCACTGTCTTCAATCCAGTCTATACTCTCTAGTTTGGAATTCAAAGCTCTCCACAATCTATGTATCTTCCACTGATTCCCTCCAGCCAAACTAATATGTGCCGCACATTCTTATCTCTTCTTTTCTCAGGCTGTTATTCCAGGTTAAAACATCCTTCTTCTCCTCTACTTGTTTATATACTACCTAACCTCAAAACCCACCTCCTCCATGAAGTCTCAGCCCAGTATTACAGATTTGAGTGACCATTCCTTTCTCTGAACTTGTGTTCTAGCATATGTATTACGACTCATTTGATGGTTAGCACATGATTTTACACACCAATTCCACTTTCTCCCTTCCTTCACCTCTCCTTTCCCTCTCCCCCACATAAATCCTTATGGGACAAGGACTATGACTTATACACTAGGACTTTATGCTTCCAATAGGCAAGGGCACACTAGATAATCTCTGAGATTCCTTCCAACTCAAAGGGTATCTATGTCTCAGTCTGTATCCACAGACCTAGCCTGGGGCTCCCCCCCACACACACACACAGTAGGCACAATAAATATTTCTTGACTCTGATAATATCTGTGTTATCACATAATTTCAGTCCATTATATATCTTTGCTCTGGAGAACCCATGTAGGACTTAGCATGTAGCATCACAGGACCAAGGTGGTCATGAGTTACAGATACATACTAAAGAGACCTAAAGAACAGCTGAATTTTTAAAAGCAAAAGAACTAGGACTTTGTAGAGAACCAAAGCTTCCATGACCCAATGAGAAAGAAGTTTATGACAACAAAGATGAGCATTGTCATACTTCAGACAGTCTCCTCAAAGGTCTCATGATGAATGGGACTATGGATCAATAAAGTATAAGCTCCTCTTATTCTTTCTTTTGCTTGGATCAGTTAAGCACTGAAGTTCAACTGAGGAAGGGAGGGAGTGGCAGGCAAGGTAAGTTGTGGATTTTCCCTGAACTGAAATACTATTTCAAAATGGAAGCTTTCACTCCACCTCACCCAAAAGAAAACAGCTCTTTGCTATGTTTTGTTAGATCCTCAAGTCCTGAAGCAGGAATTTAATACTGACAGCTCACTCAGAACATACAGAATCATATCAGAAATTTTACAACTGAGAGGGATCCTTAGAGAGGATCTATTCAACCCCTTCATTTTATAGAGGAAATTGAGGCTGAGAGAATAGTAATTTTCCAGAGGCCATACAGCCAGTTAGTTGCAAAGATGTCCAATTGTCCGATTCTCAAAGCAACTATGTCACCTTCTGAGCCTACATAACAGGTAATCTTCCTACCTCACTGCTGGTGAGAGAAAAAGATACCACACTCCTGAATTTTCAATGGTACCAAATCTCGAAAGAAGAGAAATCCAAGCAATGTCCAAATGTATCAGAAAAGGAAGAGTGCTAAGAGCCAGGCTGTGTGAAGATAGAATTGTTTTCTATGGTCCATTTTAGTAAAATCAGTCTTATAGTATCGGCTGCTTCGATTATACCAATGAAGATAAACTCTGGGATCTTGGATATTAATGTAATTAAACTAAAGTTAACCTAGGCCAAGAAGGAGAACTTGTCATTATGAGAGAGCTGAAGAGATGGCTTCACTTTCTATCTCGTGGAGTGAGCAGAGCTGGGTCACGTTAAGGATTTAGTATTTAGTGTTGGGTCTGAATTAACATGTAAAAATTCTAGCCAAGAGGCAGGAAACAGATAAACATTCAAGGAACTGATTTTACATTTGATCCTGAGGGTAGTAGGGAGCCACTGGAGTTTACTGAGCAGAGGAGATGATATGATCTGGCTTATGCTTTAGGAAAACCATGCAGACAACTAAGTGGAAAATAGACTAGAGAGAGAAGAGCCTTTAAGCAGGTGAATCAAAAAGAAAATCAGTGTAATAGTCTAGACCAGAAATGATGAGGGGCTGAAATAAGTGGCAAAGTGAATGGAAAGTAGTGGATGAGTAAGAAAGTAGTATGCGACAGGCTGTGAAAGTTTAAAGGTCAAGATTTCGCAATGGACTGGATCTGTGGGATGAGCAAGAGTGGAGATTCCAAGGATAACACTGAGGTTTTGGGCCTGGGTGACTGGAAGGATAATAGTGTCACAGATAGTAATAGGGACATATAGAAGAGGGGAAGTTTTAGAGAAAGATAATGAGTTCTGATTTAGACATGTTGAGATCTGGCCACTGGAGACCCAGCTGAAGAAAGTGGGAATGTTTACTAACTTAGTGGGGGATGGGATATTGGTCCTTAAGGATCAGAAGGGATGTCCACATGGAAACGGGATCCACCTTGCTCTGCCAGGCCCCAGGGAGCAGAACTAGGATCAATGGGGGGACAGAAGGAGAGGTGGAGGGAGAATTAAATGGAAAAAGAAGAAAAAGATTCCCAATAATTAGAACAGTTCAGAAATGGAATGCACTACCCTGGGGGAGACTGGAGATGTTTTAAAGGAAGCTGGATGAACCCTGCTTGGTGGGGATGTTATAGACAGCATGGATGGAAGTCGTACTAGATGCCTTCTAAGGTTCTCTCCAGTTCTAGAATTCCAGGAATTCTCAAACTCTCTTTGCTTAAGAGCACAGTATTCTTTGCCATGAGGAACTGTAGAAACCAAATGTTTAAGTTGGCAACTCTATGGGAGAGTCAAGAGATTAATGCATGCACAGCTTCCCTTCAATAAGGGTGACCATTCTGCTGAGCTCTTTGCAAGTTCGAGATCTGATGTTCTGAGGTAGTACATAGTGTAAGAGTAAATAATTTTGTGAATATTATACTTACCATGTTTATCAAGATGCAGCTACCAACAGCCACAATGCATACCATACTATGCATGCTGAGTCAGCAACATTTTCATTAATCAAAATTATTTGAACTTTCTTTTACCGGCAATAACACTAACAAAATCTGTGGCACTCTAGTATGTCACAGCACACCCTTTGAGAACCACCTTTCTACATGGACAAAATTGAGAGAGCCCTTGACAGAATATAATGCCACCATCTCTAACAGTTCTTTGTGAGTAAGAGCACTATAACCCAGCCAATGCACTGGGACATATTGCTGCATTACAATGGCATCTTTGGGTTCCCTCAACTTTCAAAGTCCCTTTTCTTTGCCAATTTTTTGGGTGTCTGGCAATTAACCATGACATGAGGAGAAAATGGTATGCATTTAACTACAACATACCGTACGTACACCAGCAATGGTCCTGTGAGGTAGGTAGCTATACCATTAATCTTATTTCACAGATGGAGGAACTGAAGCAAGTAGAAGTAAAGTCCGTTGCCAAAGATCACAAAGCTAGTAAGTTGCACAGCTGGAAACTGAACAGTCTCCCGAGTCTGCGCAGTGATCTTACAGGCAAATGAACAGATGGCTCCTTGGGTTGGTAGATAGAGCCCCCTTATCCTTCAGTGTGCTCTGACAAGGTCACAAGTAGGACATGAACTTAAAGGGTGGAAAACACTGAACTAGAACTTCAAACAAATTTACAAAGCATTCAAGGAAGTAACCATCAACTGTACTGGTAGTGGAAAAAAAAGGGAATAACAAAGTTACGATATTAAGATTCTTAGTTAAAGCTACAAGACCAACAAAGAAACAGCAGTAAAAGAAACAGTAAACATCAAAGACAAAGACTCAGCTACCAACAACCACAACACCTCAGCTGAAGACAACGGAGTCGGTCTATTGTGCACTTTCTGCCCCAAAGATAATGCTTACCAGAGAAGACAGCTAGCAGGAACAAACCATGAAGCAGTTCTACAGAGTTCAAGTACCAAGGGATGTGATAGAAGAATGGGGCAACAAGGAAAAATCAGACTGAAATCTCATCACAGATAAGGAATACCCTAGAAAAAGGAGCAAACCAAGCAGTCTTCACTCCAAAATGGAAAAGCACTGAGATAAAAGCCAGCCACAAGCCAAACTTTGCCCAGGCCATCTATCCCCCATGCCTAGAATGCTCTCCCTCCTCAGCTGGTCCTATTGGAACCCTTGGCTCCCTTCAAAGCTCAGCTCAAATGCCACCTGCTATGGAAAGACTCTCCAGATCCCTTCAGCTGTCAGGGCTCTCTCTCTCTCTCTCCTCCTTCTCCTTATAACGCATTTATTTGCTAGGTCGACCAGGTAGAAATGAAACTCCTTCCAGGCAGAAACTACCATTTTCACCTTTGCATCCACAGCACTCGGCACAGCACTGCACAGAGTACAGAGCTACTTAATGAACTGAGAAGTGGACAACAGCATACCCTAAGACCCTGAAACACCCTGAAGCTCAGTCTAGCTACCTGACTGATTGACCAGTGAGCCTGGTCAGAGTCAAAAGATAAGAAGGCTGCTTACGATGAGACCAAGCTATTAGTAAAGGTTACCAGAGTTCTAACCAGAGTTTGACTTTTCTTCTCTCCTAGAAAAGTACAAGTTACTTCAAAAACTCTCAGGCAAAACCCTGCCTGACCTTGTGGTGGTTTCCAGAATAGTGACAGAAATCTCCTCAATAGCCATTATGGAGGATGAACACCATGGGCTGGTTGACTGTAGTTAGAGACACTGAACAACCATACCCCAAACAAAGGCTGATTGATGGATCAATGTCAACCTGGATTTGAAGTCAGAAAACCTTGATTCAAATCCTAGTTCTGCTACTTACTACCTGAGTGGCCTAAGGCAAGTCATTTTCTCTCTTTCTCTCCTCCACCTCGCAGGCCTAACTTCCTTCAGTGGCAAAATACAGAACAGGACTAGGTGACCTCTCAGGGCCTTTCCAGATTTAATCCTGTATGCCCAGGAAAAGAGTTGTTTCCACAGTACTGTCCTTCCCCAGTTTTCTTCAACACTTTTGGGTGAAGATGTGATAGGTTTATCAAAGTCATGGCTGACACAAAGCTAAAGAAGATAGCTAATATGTTGGTAGAATCAAAACTTACAGAATCATACACTTAGAGCTAGAAGGGCCCTTAGAAGTCATCTAGTCCAGGAGTGAAGAACCTGCGGCCTCGAGGCCACATGTGGCCCTCTAGGTCCTCAAGTGCAGCCATTCGATGGAGTCCAAGTTTTACAGACCAAATCTTTATTAAGGGGATTTATTCTGTGAAGTCTGGATTCCATCAAAGGGCTGCACTTGAGGACTTAGAGAGCCACATGTGGCCTTGAGGCCGCAGCTTCCCCACCCTTGATCTAGTCCAATCCAGATGGAATCTTGAACCAAAATTATGATGAAATTTAAAAGAAGTCAAGCCTTGCATTCTGATTTTTTAAACTCAAATGTACAAATATAGGCTGGCAGAAACCTAAGAGGCTTGGTTGGCCCCAACTCTAAGTCTATGACTGATCCTCTTCCTTAGTGAGTTTTTTCAAGGATAATAAATTCTCTAATTCCAACCCCAAATAGCAGGGAAGAAAAAAAAGATTTTGGCATTCTCTACGACTGGTATCTATCTAGTAAGACTTTCCATTTAATCACAGATACTGCTGCTACTACTGACCCATTTTTACTTGACCTACAATCAGTTTCTAGAAAATATACATGACTACCTCTAGTGCATACCCTTTTTGCTTCTAATTAAACTGGAGACTAAAAGTGTTAGCTTTTTTTCTCTTAGAGAGAATTTACATTATCTACTATTTTCTTGAAATTACTGTGAAGAACATCTAGCTTTCAATTGTGAGGCATTAAAATTTTACAAAGATAATAAAGCTTCACTCAGGCTCCCAGAGTCATCCATCTTGAAAACAAGCCACTAACATATATCCCAGGGGAAAACCCTAATGCAGCAACTGTCCCTTTTCTTAGGCTTCTACATATGAAAGACCAATTATTTCAACGTCAAGTCTCTGGAGTTACCAAACAGTCAAGTTTACATTTTAATCCTGACTGGGGAAGACGGGGTGTAATCATTTATTTATGCTTAGAAATTTCAAAGAACTGACACACAAGTCCAAAGAGAGTTTGAGTGTGTGAGTGTGTGTGTATCAGCCAATAACCAAAACAATATACACAAAACAATTTAGAGTGAATATCTGACAAATAAAAACTTAAGTGTAGAAAACCAACCCAGGCCCTTTGCCCTGGGGCCTCTTTTATTTTATTTTTTTAAACCATTCCCCTTGATAACCTCAGAACATCAGATGTCCAAACAAGAGCTGGGTACAGACTTTCCTCTGATACGAAGCCAGGCTCCTAGGACAGGAACTTACTTACTTCTTTGCGCTTCGTTTCTGGGCACTCAGACTGGAGGGTGAGAGTCGCACCTTCAATGTTTCTCGGCATAGGAGTTGAACCAGGATTTATGGTTAAATGGATCTGATCTGGAGAGATGATGTGCTGCACATAACCCTGTGACATTCCTTCATGATCTATTAAGTGATATCCCTCATCAGGACCCCCCACTAAAAAAGGCAGGTGTTCTCCACATTGTCCTTCATCATCATCATCTTCCAGAGTGCCAGGGTCCTGCTCAATAAGAACAGTTGTCCTGTCATAAACTGTTCCAGATGAAGAAGGCATCAGTCCGTTCTTATCCACAAACCTGAGTATTTTATCATGATGTGACAGTTCATCTTCCTCTGCCTCATAACAAATGATATTGTCTTCTGGACTGTTTTCCCCCATGGTTCAATAGAGCTCAGTGAAATTGTGAGATATGGGATGAGGACCAGTCTGTAAAAGAATAAGTTGAAAATTAGAGGTCTACCACATGGAGTGAGGTGCCTTCAGAACCTAGGATTCCTAGTAATATTTCTAGGGCCCTCTTTACCCCTTGCTATTTCCTCTGTAAAGTATTTTTTAAAACCCCAAGAAGACCTAGACTAGACAAATCATAGATACTATGGTCTCTGTGGCATCAGTCAGCCTATTTTGTAAGGCTCAAGTCACTTCTAAAAATATGAAGTACCGCACAAGAATTTCCAAGTGTATTTCTGTTTACCATTTGATGATCCAAAGATTGCCAGAGAAGAAAATGAAAGTAGAGGTGTTAAATATAATTAGGTAACTTAAAGAACGAGACACTCCAGATACTGATATAAGGAAAAACCCTTCATATATCCCCCAAATGAGAATAGGACTCTCCTACTACACACGGGTTCTAGGACTACACCCTCAGGCAGCTCCCAAGGAGGTTGCTTCATCCCATTTCTCCTGGTACACCCAACCACAAGCCACTCTCTATGCAGATTTGCTGATGGGGGAGGGTGGAGCAGGAATCAAACAGGAAGCTTTTCTTCTTTGAAACAGTGAACTGCAATTCCCCCCAAATCTGACACATCAAGTTTTACAAGTGTGGGTGAAGCTAAGCAGAACATATAAGCACAGGGTAATTTAGAAAGTTTCAACATGGTAATTCTTATTTTCTGCCTCAACTTCACACTTTAACTTTCTCTTCCACATTGGTGCTGGACATCCTATCTCAGAATAGGGTAGGAAAGCCAGCTTATCTCTATACGGGGTCTACACAAATTATGGGGCCAAAGAGGCTGGAGGAACCAGATTAGGAAAGAACCTTTCTGACCCCTGACTCGAGCTTCTGCAACTCTCCAGATGGATGCACTTCACTACAGTTGGGAGGAGGAACAGAAAGGTAAGTGTATACTGGGCTCTAGCCAGCTGATATAGACAACCTAGACAGTGAAGTGTGTTGGGGTAGGGGGCAGAGAAGTGGAGCTAGGGGTTGCTTAAAGAAAGGCTGAAACATGGCCCCCGGGGAAAGGGGGAAGAAAGGGGAAAGAGGGGGAGAGAGGGAGTGGGAGGGAGAGAGAGAGAGAATTAGTTTGAGCCCTCATTCTGTTTAGTGGTGGTGTGGTAAATGAACATATTAGTTCAACTGAAGAAGCAGGAGAATGAAGGAGTGGAGGTACATAGAATGTAAATGCCCCTGGTAGAGCTAGAAGGCCAAGAGATAAGATGAGATAGATAGAGGAGGATCCTCCAACTAGGGGGTAGGAGAGAAGGGAAGGACATCTGAAGTGAAGTACACCTGAAGCCGGGGCACGAGGGAATTTGAGAATCTCTAAGAGAGAAGAAAGGGCGCTGGGGTCCCGGTAGGGGGTAGGCTCAAGGTGCCCTTGAAGGGGCTAGGGCTGGAACGCTTCACATTTCCAGGAAGTTTGGGAGCCAGGGTCCCTTATGAGAGGTGGGTGAGAGGGGCTCTGGATCCCACTCACCCCTACACAGGCTGAGCTCCCCCAGTAAGGAGGGGGGAGAGGGACCCGAGCCTCTCGGGGAGGGAAGGGGGTAGGGGAGCGAACTAGGGTCCCTGCCTGGAAGTTGCCCTCGAAGGGCTTGAGTATTCGTCCCCTATCCCTGGGAGGAAAAAGGGAGGAGTGGGGGTCAAGTGAGGGTACCCACTACCTCAGTGGGTGAGAAGGAGCGGGCGGGCGGGCTGGGCCAGGGGTGGGGGTAGCAGGGAGGCCTCAGCCCCAGGCGGAATCCCGGAGGAAGCCGGGTCTCCCCGGGGGAGCAGCGAGGGGCCGGGGCCAGGTCTCCATGGAGATGGGGGGAGGGGGATGGATCCCCGTCCCCATGGAGACAGAGGAGGGGGGTCCCCATGGAGACGGGACCGGGAATCTCTCCCCCAGCTGCCGGAAAACGTTCCTTCGGCCCCCAAGGGCCGCGCTCCCCGACCCTTTCTCCCAGGTAGTCTCCACCCCCAAGTGGACGCCCGGCTCCAGCTCTTACCTTGGCGGCACCCGGCAACGACAGCGGCGGCAGCAGCTCTTCCCCTCCCCAGCGGCACCATGATTGCCCCCCCCACCTTCCCCCCCTTTCCTTCAACGTCACTTCCGCTTCCACTTTCCGGAGGAAGACGAGATAGAGGGAGCAGCCACTGGGTATCTTGCCCGCGGCGCGGGCAGACTCAACCAACCACTCTCTCGAGAGCTCGAGCTCGGGGCGGGGGAGGGAGGAGGGGTGTGAGTGAGGAGCGTCCAATCAACGCGGAGAGGTGTGGGGTTAAGCGGCCCGACTCGCCCGGCTCGGCTGCTGGCTGAGGCTCGGTCACGGTTTCAGTCTCGATCTCTGGCTCACGCTCACGCTCACGGTCTGGGTCTGGGTCTGGGTCTGGGTCTCGGTCTCGGTCTCGGTCTCGGTCTCGGTCTCGGTCTCTCTCCTGCACCTTCTCCTGATCTGTCCCTTGCCAGGAGAGAGCCCTTACTAAGGCCGGGACGCCACCGTCCCCCCTCGGCGGGCGGGCGCGCGCTCTTCTCCCAGCGTTGCAGCTGAAAGGACCGCGGTTATGCACCCGAAAGAACGGCCGGGGCTCTCCACGAGGAGGGCACTGGGAGGGGCCTCGAGGAAGAGCCAGCTGGGGCAGGGGATCCTGGAGCTCCTGCCCTTGGCCCCAGCTGCCCCCCCCCGGGGGGGACTGACCTGACACCCCTGGAGGAGCTGGACACTTCTTAACGTCTGCTAACCGCCGTTCCCCGGCCTCCCCCGCCCCCACTCCAGTGCCGTGGGGGTCGTGGTAGCCCCAGACTGCTGAGCTGGGCATCCATCCCTGGCGGAAAGCCGGGCCAGATTATTAAACAAATGGTTTGTGAGCGCTTAGGAAAGTGGCAATCACTGAGAGCCAGCGTGTGTTCACTACAAACAAGCCCTGCCAGGGTTTTGCCAACTTATTATTTGTTTTTGGACCAGACTTGTGATTTTATTATTAGCAGGGGGAGCTGTAGATGAGGAAATTCCCCCTACCAGTTTGCAAACCTTAAAGAGCTATAGATTTGTGAGCTAATCGGGAGGCATCATGATGGTAGTGTGGTGGATTTCGGGGGGGGGGGGGGGGATGAACCTGGCTTCCATCCTGCCTCAGCCTTCATTGACTAGGCAAACCTTTTACTTGTTTCAAACCTCAGTGTTCTTAAGAATGGGGATGATAGAGCCCACCTCCCCGGGTTGTGGGGATTGCATGGGGTAGGTGGAGCATTTGGCAGACCTTAAAGTTATATAAATGTGAGCTGTTAATTTGACAAGATTACTAGGCTGGTCAATAAGGCAAATTCTTGAGATATTTTCAGATGCCTCACTGAAATTTCGATGTTCACAGTCTCTTAAGTCATCTTTGTGCACAAGATGGAGAAATGGAGGCTGGAGGATAGCACAGATTCAACCAGCTACACATCCATGTAGACTTAAAAAATATCCATAAATGGCTAAAAGCTAATCTGTGTGGAGATTTCTGGGGAGCGGTGCAGTGCGCTATCTTCGCACCCTATCTGTTCCACATCTTTTTTTTTAAACCAGCAATGTTAGATTCATTAGTAGGAGCTTTGCAATTTCCCAGAATTCTCACCAAAACAAGAGCCTATATTTTTAATAGCTGTGTTCTGATGTTTTATGGCTTTGAGTCATGAACCACTAATCTCCAAAAAATTGAAATAATGTATCATTCAGAGGGAAGTGAAGAGACCCATAGTGGGTATAAGTAGGCTGTAACACATAAGGTCTTATGAAAAACTAGAATAAAAGATGTAATCAAAGAAATATATGAAAGAAAAAGATGGGCTGACCACATGCTGCCAAGAATGAAGGATAATCAACATAACCTTTGTACTCCATTGGTATTCTTGACATCTCAAGACACCCAGGAAGGTTACCTTTGACTCATTGGAGTATATGGGCAAGAATTGTACCAGATAAGCTGGCAAGGTTGAATTGCAGGGGACTTTTACATTGATAAGATTACAGACCATTTGAGTGATATACATTAAGACAGATAACGTTCAGTGCTTATCAAACTACCTGTGGTAGAGCCTTCCAAGCCCACGTTGGACTGATGAACCACAAACACACCGTACCTTTGCCCCAACATCGTGATGTCATTGGTCCTCTTCAAGTATGAAGAATAAACAGCAACAACGTGCCAGGTAGTGTGCTAAGCACTGGGGAGACAGAGAAACGTCTCTGGTCTCAGGAAGCTCACAGGAATGTGGAAGACAACATGCAAATAGATATGTACCAACTATCCAAATCAGGAGGCATAGATCAGGAGAGCATTCCAGGCACGAGGGATAGGCAGTGAAAACACCTGCAGTTAGGAGATGTCTTGTTTAAGGAACAGCAAGGAGGTTTGAATCACTGGATCAAAGATTAAATTGGGGGAAGGGGTGTAAGGTATGAGAAGAATGGAAAAGATTAGGTTACGAAAGTCTTTGAGTAACAGAGGATTTTACAGTTGATCCTGGAGGTGATAGGAAGCCATTGGAGTTTAGTGGGTGAGGGGTTGGGGGTAGGGGTAACCTGCACTTCAGGAAGATCAATTTGATAGATGAGTAGTGGTTGGACTAGAGGGAGGAGAAATTTGAGGCAGAAGGAGAATAATCAGAAGTCAACTGATGGTGGACAAGTAGTCCATATGTAATGTGATGAGCCTTTTACCAGGGTGGTGGCAGTGTCAGAGGAGGGAATAGGAGAGATATGCAAGACATATTACAAATGTGAAATTGACAGGACTTTGCAGCAGATGGGAGTGAGGAATTAAGATTGTGGCCATTCATGTCCTTTGTCTTTAAACCATAACTAAAAGCACTCTCCTTTATTTCGTGTGGTTTATTTTTAACTCTAACCCTTGAAAGCATCACATTACCTTTTTGGGGGGGGGGTGAGGCAATTGGGGTTAAGTGACTTGCCCAGGGTCACACAGCTAGTGTCAAGTGTCCAAGGCTGGATTTGAACTCGGGTCCTCCTGTCTCCAAAACCCGAGTTCTATCCACTGTGCCACCTAGCTGCCCCTCACATTATCAAAATACACAAAACTATTCCTTGATTCTTTGGCGTAGCCAATCAGGTCTAAAGACAGTACTCTGGCCACTAAGACAGGCTTTCAGAAAAACTCCCTGGAGTACTCTGGTTAATCTTTTCACTAAAGGACTTCTTCTGGGAAGACTGCCCTGCAGGCCAGACTTCCTAGGCCCCTACATTGTTTGCAGGGGAAAGCAACACCCCCCCCCCCCCACACACACACACACATTGTTTGCTGGGGAAGAATTGGGAAAGGTTAGCCCCAACACTGCCGGGGAAGGTAAGCCCTCCCACTGTTGGGGAAGTAGATGGCCCCAGGAAGTTCCTTTAAGAGAATAGGTTGTAAGAGTGGGAAACCTTTGGCCTTGAGGCTGCATGTGGCCCTTCAGGTTCTCAAGTGCAGCCCTTTGACTGAATCCAAACTTCACATAGCAAATCCCATTAATAAAAGGATTTGTTCTGTAAAACTTGGACTCAGTCAAAAGGCACACCCAAGGACTTAGAAGGCCACACGTGGCCTCAAAGCTGAAGGTTCCCCACACCTGGAACTGTTAGGGTAAGCCTCCTCAATGTAGAAGCCCCTTTAAGAAAATAACCTAGGATAACCTCCGTAGTGTTGGAGATGTTCCCTTGGGGAAATTATGGGATTTGAGAATAGCATCTTGATGGGAAACCCCCAGCATAAATTTCTTGTAGCATGAGACCTGGGAAGAGAGTGGTGCTAAGTTGACACTCCCTTAGGAAATTCTTATGAGCCTGGAAACAGGTGTAGATTCCCATACAGGAGTGGAGGGGGGTGACTAAAAGATAGAACTCTCCAATTATGCTAAAATATATTAAAATCCAAATGGGTCCCAAAATTGACCTGAAGAAGGGACTTTTAATTACTTCAAATTTTGGAAAATTGTGTATAATAATTTTTTCAGTCTTATTATGTCTGTTTTTATGCCTTTGTAAAATGCTCAGAAAAATCTTTTGTGTTGTGTTTAATGTTTGTAGATTCTGCTACCTTGAAAGAGGTCTAAGGGGAAAATGCAACCAGCCACAAATACTATTGTAAAAAGCTGCAGCCAAAGAGTTTAGAACGCTGGGGAAGATTAATGAAGGTTCATAGCTTCATACTCGAAACAGTTCTCCCAACTTTCTGCAATCTGATGCCAAACTCTCTGCTCCTGTAAGCAGGGACTCACTCCCACTTTAGGCTTTCATCAACACATTAAGTTAAAAAAAAAAAAACTTTGCAAGATACTTGCTGTCATTTTAGCCCTGGTCAGAATGAGGTTACAGAGATAAAGTCAGATAATCAAAAAAAGGAAAACTTTTTCCTGCTTTGTAGAAATTTGTGGCATCATAAATGAATTAGAGATTGAATTTGAAATTGATAGGTAATATCTTTACCGTAAATTTCCATATTGTGGTAACCGCTAAAAATCTCAGTAGGTTTTGGAGATTTGAAGATTAAGCATAAGCACCTCTCTCCCCTTTCTGAAGAGAAGGATTTGGAGTTGGGAAAGAGGTGTGAGATGACCAAGAAGAAAGATTAAAGTAGGAACTTTCAAATGTCTTTTGGAAAGATTAAAGTAGGAACTTTCAAAGCTTTATATAACAGAATCAATTGTTTAGGTAAACTAGAGATAAGATCACTGAAGAAAATTAGAAGGAAACCAAGTATTTTTGTAAGTTCTTGGGAACCCAAAAGGGTAATAGTATTACAGTTAATCAGGGTTGTGTAAAATTTTGTGCTAAATTGCAAAGGAGACATTCTATGGAATAAAAATTAGTTATCTTTACGTAATCTGGAATTTGGTTAGGAAATACAGTATTCTGCCCCTGAAGGACTATTTAATCTGGATGCTGTTAAATTATGAATTGAGCTGTTTAAAAGGATGTGATTTTAAAAACTGATATTTGAAAACTATTCAATATTTAATGGGGTATATTTTGTTTAAATATAATAATAATTTACTGTCAGAGGGGTGTTGTACAGACTCTTTAAGATGTCCTTATCTGTGAAGCCCCTTCAGACT